AAAAAAAAAAAAAAAAAAGAACTATTTAAAGCTGTATTTCTTGGGACCAGAGCAGCCCACAGGCCATCTGTCTCCTGGAGAACTGCTCTGGGACTGGGCACAGACAGATCCTCAATCACACCATGACTGAGGAACCAGCTCCAGAATGGGCAGGAGTGATTTATTTGCTGGCTCAAGACACCCATCCACTGGCAATAATCCCTCCTCATCCTCCTGAGGAGAGCCAGCTGAAGGAGAGGTTACAGGATTTGCCCCGAATAGCCTGGGTTCACAGTGCAGGGTTTGGATGAGCATAAAAAGCTTTGGCTAAGCYATGTTAAAGCCAAGGTCAGATGAGATCACTCGGCTGCTGATCGCCCCTGAGCAAGGCATTGTTTCCAGTTTCCACAGGRGATCCTGACTTTTAGAAGATGGGTTTTGCAGGGACTGCTGCTCTCTGATGTTAACAGGAGGTGTCAGATCAAAGTGGGTTTTTTTTTTTATCCTGAAAAACTTCCTGGCTTGCACAGTCCCTTGTATATCCAGCAACTGATGCAACTCTGCAAACCTCTCCTCATTTAAACAGCACTACACACGTGCCTGGAGTCCGGAGGAAAATCTACTAAATCTGAATAAAAATGGGTTGGAAAGTGCTGGGAAGGTGCTTTAGGAGAAACTCCTCCCTGTCCTAAGCACTGGGGTGATGAACCAAACCAACCCAGGGACAAACCTCACCACAAACATCACCAGTGCAGAGCAGGCTGGCAGATYCCTCCTCCTCCTCTCTGATTTCAGGAATGCTGATAAACCTCTGCCAGTGCCCCCCAGGCACAGCCCTGCTCKGATGATTTCCCCATCAACATTTTTTTCCTGGCTCAGTTCACTGCCCTGCTCACGGATTCGCTTCATCTCAGTCCCTGATTTGCTCTTTCCAGAGCCCTAATCACCGAAACAGAATATTCAACAGAGCCAGACGTGTTTATCCAATATGAGGAGTCATAGTTGGCTGGGAGAACGTGGAAATGAGKGATGGAGGCTGCCAAGTACTCATGAGCACTGTAATGGCACAGGGCAGGAGAAATGTCMAAAAAGCTCCAAAAAGTGAAGCTTAACCCTTGGAGGGACTGAGATGAAGGCAGAGCTCATCCCTTGCTGCTCTCCACAGCTCATGCTCAGCTCTCACAGGTTCAGTGTGTCAGAAAGGAGACTCAAAATAACACTGGATGGTGAAAAGGTGCTCATTTCCCTCCTGGGAGAGCAGATTGCTCCAGAAGCGTGTCCTGAGCCCCAGCTCTGCAGCCCCAGCTGTGGTTTGGATGGATCCTGTGCTTCACTCAGCTCCTGGCAGGCACCAGAGGGGCAGGAGCTTTCCCAGATGAGCTGCAGCCATTCAGTGCTCAAAAACTGAAATAGAGCCAAAGTCACCCTGCTGAGAGAGGCTGGTGATCACCAGARTGAGAGGAGGAAATTCTGGGATTATCCTCCAGTCAGAAATGTCATTCCAGCGACACACACGGATGGGAGCTTGAATTTAATAAAGACAACCTGTGGAGATTTCATTTTCATTGTAAGSCCTCCAAAATTGTAAAAAGGGTTAAAAAGGAGTTGCTGAAAGGAGATTAACAYGCTCAGGATCTGAAAAATATCTTACCAAAGGTCTCTGAAGAGCACAGGAGTAAATTAATGAATCAAAAATCAGCCTTTAAGGAAAATCAGGCTCTGACCTGGCTGAAGGGACACCAGCCATTCCCTCTGGGCTCCAGAACARATCTGCACACATGGATATTTTTGCACTGAAAATCAGGAACTGAGGGTGACTGACATTGCTGGAAGAGAATGTTGGATGCTGAATGTCTCTAACAAAGGCAGCAGGAATCAGTGATTTGGACACCAGCCTTATATTTTCGACTGAGCCTCTGCCAGTGTTTAAATACCTTCCCCCCTTGAGCATCTAAAGGGAAAAATGAAAACCATTTTGGTGAGGATGAAAGRCAGGAAGTCCTCAGAAAAGGGAAATAACTTCAAGTGAGAAATTCCCCTTCACCTGTCAAACATCTCATACTTTCAAATTTTTTGGGCTTGCAGCTAAAAGGGCTGTTTTTGAAAGAAATATTGCCTGTGGGGCTAAAGTCAGGTTGGTATATAAAAGGAATTTTAGGAGTTGTGTGCTCCTGAATGGGTCACTAAATGTGGAGGAAAGGAGGGTTGGGTGGGTGAAAAGGAGGGCACCATTAGTGGGATATTGGGATGGAATTGTTCCCTGTAGGGTGGGAAGGCCCTGGCACAGGGTGCCCAGAGCTGTGGCTGCCCCTGGATCCCTGGAAATGTCCAAGGACAGGGTTTGGAGCAGCCTGGGACAGTGGGAGGTGTCCCTGCCATGGCAGGGGTGGAACTGGATGGATTTAAGGTCCCTTCCCACCCAAACCCATCCGTGTTTCTTTGATAACGCTCAGCCCCATCCTCCCGCTCTCACTGCTCCGCTCCAGTTTTGTTCCAGAGAAATGCTTCACCTGTCTCCCTTGGAAACCCATCCCCATGGCAACAGGCAGGAACAGATCTGCAGGCAYGGCAGAGCTGTGACAGCCCCTGATTTCGGTGACACTCGTGATGGCACCGTCCCGAGCCTGTCGGGAGCTCACCCGTGACAAGGCGCCACTTGGAAGATTTTCCACCGAGAAATTGCTTTTGCAGTCTTTCACTCTGCTGGCTCTTGAACTCTCAGTCTGTGCAGCATGACTGCAATTTTATCTGAAATGTGTTATTTGCCTTTATCAGCAAAAACCCATAACCTCAAACGAGATGTTTTTGACAAGACCTACTTTCCATAAAGCCGCCCTGCCAACCACCACGAGCTGCTTCTGTGCTTCTCTCCAAACTCAATTCCACACTGGCTTTTCACTTGTGGGGTCTGTTTTTTTCTCAGATGCTGAGACAGTTTACTTGTACATCACCAACACAGTGGATTTCTCGCTACACTTTTTATGGCATTAAGATGGTTATATTTTTTTTTTCCACTCTCTTGTGAGTAAATTCAGCAATTCACCAGTTAAAAATAACCCGTGCACTGCTGGCTGTGGGTGATAAGAGGGAGTGGATGTGTCTGTAGGGTGATAACCTCGGGCTCCAGGAATTGTAGTCAGCAATTCTGATTTCAGAAGCACAAAACTCCTCTCCAAGGGCATTACCAGCTAAACATCTGTAGGTCCAGAAAAGTTGAGACCCTTTGGAGTGATGCTCAAAATGAAATCTGTCACAGCTGGGCTTTCTTGCACACAAAAACATGGTAACACAGGCTACAAGCATGGGGTTTTTTTTGTGTTTAATTCCTATTGGAGAGAGATGAATATGATTAAAATTTCACATAAAAAAAACCCAACTTGAGGTTTGTGACACCACGATGTACTTTAAACTTTYGTCAAAGTGCACAGCCAGTATTGAGGTGCTCTTCTCTTTTTGGATTTTAAAGCCCACAAGATTTGCTTATTCCTCACCAAGAGCAAGGGACAATTCAGTGTGCAAAGGTCAGGTGTGAATGAACACTGACCCAAATTAAATGGCACATTCCAACTCTCAGAGAGAGCTCAAGGCACTTTGYTCAGCTCTGCCCTCCTGGGAGGTCCCAGAGGCTCTTTCTGCTCCTGAGAACACCAGGAAAAAAAAGGGAATGCTGTTTGTACTGCCAAAACCAAGAGGATAGAGAGGAATAATGGAAAATATGATTTGGAGCTGTATTTACAACTGTTTCTTTCATTTTTAAATGAGAATTCATGAGTCTCTTTGGAGATCCTTCCTTGAAGGTGAGGGGGCAGAGCTACACTCAAACCCAGAACTCACCCAAATGAGCCATGACATAAATCCAGCTGATGTAAGAGTTGGAAAAGGAGTCCTGCCATTTTCAGAAGGCATTTCAGTGTCAGCCTCTGCTCCTGGTGACATTGAGGAAGAGAGCAAGCCTCTGGCTGCTCCAGGAATTACACCTCAAAACAACCAAACGAAAGGCAAACACTTTCTATTTATCTATATCCGGGAATAGCTCTGCACATTGATTGCAACAAAAACTTTAAAATATTTTMTGCATTTTTAATGAAGTTTTAAAAATATTACTTCTATTTAATTTCCTTTTTTTTTCCCCCTGTGGTTGTCTTCCTCTCAACGCTTATGCCAAGAACTATCATGAAACCACTCTGAAAACACCAATCCACAAAAGTGGTTAATCCTTTCTAGATACACACATACAGGCACACTTCAGGGTCATAATTAAGCAGAAAAAATGTCCTTTTTTTTGCTGTAAAAAGCAAAGCAGACCCCGTGATGTGCTGGGAGGGAGGATCAGATGGAGGCGGTGGGAGCTGCCTGAAGATCCCAGCCCTGGCTGCCGTCAGGAGTGACAGATGGTGTTTGTCAAGAGGATGGAGATTTACCTTCTTATTTTACCATGGAAATATAGCAGCAAGAACACCACCARCATTCACTGTTTTATCCAGAAGGTTTAAGAAATAGATACCACATTTAAAAAAGAAAAAAAAATACCAACAAAATAACCCAAAAAACCCAACAAAACCCAATAGGATTCCTGCAGGAAAACAGAGCGCCAGATGCAACTGGAAATCCCAATTAAAAGAAGCAGTTGTGTGTATCAAGAGACAATGTATGCCATTGYATGGAATTTATTTTCTCATTAAGGAAATGCACAGAGCATATACAGAGATTACATTCAATACAGATTTATCTTTACAGAACCATCAGAAGATAAAGATACAATCAATACCTGCTTCCCGCAGCAGAAGAGATTGAAGGAACTGCTTCAAGCTGAGAATGAAATGAAAAATACTTACACCAATTTAAGTGATTTTTAAATAGATGAGACTGGAGTCCAAATTAACATTCTCAGCCAAGACCTGCTGCATTGTTGCAATCTTTATATTTAAAGATATATAACAGCTTTATCAGACTGCTGCCTAGAGACTAAAAATAGAGCAGAACTGCCTTGTCTGAGCCCTTCTGAACAAASCCCCAGGAGAATCCAGCCAGCTGAAGCCACATGAGACAATGRAGGATCCACACTGGGAAAAGAGCACAGCAAAACAAGGAGACAGTTCAGCCCCTGTGACAGCAACAGCTACGAGGCAAGGGYTACACTCAACAGGGAGGATTCACTGATTTACCTCAAAGCAGCTCTCTAGAGTTTGCAACCTCAGTAAAATTTTGGTCAATCTGCAGAATTCTAATACACACCACCCGGAATTAATTTTTCAAAGTAGTATACTGAAAAAAACACAACACAAAGCTAGAGGAAAAACTACTTTGCCACGTATTTTGTGAGTTCCATAAACTTGACCTAACAAATTTCCTACTAGGCAGCTAAAACTAGAGCTGCAAAGACCACCTCTACTTCAGTCACACCAGCTGGACTTGAAGCCAGCCCTGTGCATGTTGTGTGCCAGGGGTTGGACCAGATCATCACAGCTGGGCATTAAAATGTACAAATTTCAGTAGTTGGTGCTCTCAGTTTTGAATCAAAAGAGGTAGTGATGCACAATTCATTTACTCTGTGATCCTTTTTGGATCCTTTACTTGGTAAAACTGCAATGMATGTGTTTATTAAAAATAATGATTTAGTCTCGTACGCCTCTAAAGACCTCCGAGTAATTTCCTTTACTTTGCAAAATGAAAAGGATATATGAACAGCTCAACTCAACCACATCATTGAAGGGGGAGATATATACACTCTTACTCTCAAAAACTGAAATTTAGGACAGTGGAGAATTATCTAAATAACTGAAACCTCAACAAGAATTATAAATTCAAGTTACAATTTGCCTACAAGACGGGGACTAGCCACTTGTTTTTAAAGCCAGCAGAGGAGAGAGATGAAGCCAATCTTTGGATGGAGTTTACCAGCTCAAAAACAACTTCCAAGCTCTTCTTTTTCCTTCTTCTTCCAGTGCTGTGGTAAGATTCTCAAAGGCTCAGAAAAGAGAAGACTGGAAGGTGTTTTTTCCCCAGAAAATACACACAAACATATAACCACAGAATGGTTTGGGTTGGAAAGGACCTTTAGGACCATCCAGTTCCAACCCCTTGCCTGGGGCAGGGACATCTTCCCCCATCCCAGGGTGCTCCAAACCCCATCCAACCTGGCTTAGACACTGACAGGGACAAAATATACAATATACCTCCATGCATTATTCTCTTAATGACCTTATCTTACCAGTTTGTATTAATACTAAATAATCTGTATTTCAAGTTTTCTTGATTTCACATTTCACATTTTCTTGATTTCACATTTTTCAAATTTCACATTTGTCCAGTGTGCCAATGCTCCCCTGAAAGATTACCTTGTTTGCTAGAATTTCCAGCCACTTCGTGCTTGAAAATTCCAGCTTGCTTTTGAATTTCTGCCAACAGTAAACAATGYTTGGCAGACATTTGTCCTTTACCTTACTACCAAGCTACCTGCAGCAAAGATTTCTCCTTATCTAAATTGCAGGAAAATGTTACGTATTCGCACAGTCAACCCCCCTCAGGATAAACAACAGGGCAGCATTCCTTACACAGAGATCAAGACCTATTTAGCAGATGAAACAATTTTTATCTAAACATCTGTCAGGTCTTCCTACAGCTTTTTGCCTAGTGAGATAAATGGTACATGGAGCAACGTGATTAGGAAATATTATCATCCYTTGCTAAGAAGGCAGAGCTGTTGCTTCAGGATATTCTTTTTCCTTCTTCTCCCCCTCATGTCAGCTTCAAGAAGGGGTGCCAGAGCAGGGTGAAGATGAGGAGGGAGATGTAGCTGCTGGAGCTGGTGACTCTGGGAGCCAGGCTCTTGGCGTTGCAGTTGTTGGAGTAGCAGCAGTGGACGCTCACTCCGGGTGCCCTCGATCCGTCCCTCCTGGCCCGCTCRCAGAAGGATCTGAACGAGCACGACTTCATGATGCCACCTGCAAGGGAGCCACAGTGAGCCCACAGGGGCTGCGAGTGTCACCTGTGTCCCCTCAGTGCCAGGGGAGCACCCAGCACTGAGCAGCATCCTTGGTTTGGCTGCTCCTCACCAATAAAGGAATAAAACCACAGCACACAGCAGCACACCCAGTTACCACTGAAACAACTAATTTATCTTAGATGCAACTTAAATATCTTCGGATGTGCCAACATGCAGAGTCTCACTAGCTGCTCTTCCATCCAAATTTCCAGGCAATACTCAAAATTCCTCTTTATAGCTTTCACACAGAGCGGGCGCAGCTGATGATGGCACACCAATAAATAAATGGATTTTACAAATCATTCCCAGCAGGATTTTGTGTCAGATTGCTGATACAACAAAATCAGGATTGATTTTTATCACCAGAGTTTATTTTGAGAAGAGACATTTACTTTTGGTTTTCTCCTTAACKTACTATGCACTCTTCTCTTTCCATCACTGATTATTTATTTATTTTATGACAAACATAACAAGTGTTTGTGGCACTTACTTGCTTGTCCTCTAATGACTGCACAGGCATCTGCATGGCCTGGACACTGCTGGCTTCCTTGTCTGTTACAGTCATCATCACTAGAGCCTACACAGGTGTAACACTGCAGAGCTTCACCTGCGTGAAGGGAAAAGAGACCACTTCAAAGTTTAYAGAAAGTATTTGAAAATATCAATCTTCTTAATCTTGTTTTGAGCACGTATAAAATGAAAAAAAAATAAAATTTAGAAAACCCAAAGATTCTGTAAATCTTATCAATGTTTATTTTTAAAAATGGTTCAGATACTGATAAAAAAATATAAAACAATTAACCACAGACTATTTAGTTGTTAAAATCTGCTCTTAAAATAATCCCAAAACATTAGATATTCTGTAACTGCATCCACATCTTCTTATAAGAACATTTTCAGAGCAGAGCCCACAGGTTGTTTTTTTCTCCCTCCATCATTCTCTTTGGTCCACAGTACCATGAAAAAGCACATTTTGTACACATAAAATCTTACAATGATCCCAATTTCCTTTTCTCCTAAAGTATCAACTCAGCTGGAAAAGCACAACAGCGTATCTTGAGTTTTGTTTAAACGTTACAACCATAACTCAATCCTTTTCTTTTCCTTGGTTCAAACTACATGGCATTTTCAAAGTCCACATGAATTTGAAAGGTATTTAAAATACCACATGTGAAGCTTGCAGAGCAGAAACCCCACCCTTGCTGTCAGTGGGGACATCTGAATTTGTTAGGAGTCGAATTTATCTTTACAGAGGTGCAATTCTGTGCTGTTACCACACTAAAATGWGCTGAAACCAACCCAACCCAGGAGAGGAGCAAAGAGGATCAACCATGTCTGAGCTAGGAAAGGCAAATGAAATTAAAAAAAGGAAGAAAAAGGATTTGACTTACTTTTGAGGACAAAAAGGGAGCTGACAAGAACCAGGCTGAAGACTGTCCACATCATGGAGATCCAAGAGATGCACCATTAGCCCAAGAAAGCAGTTTGTTTGCTATTAAAGCCTTAATGCTTCTCTTCCACCCCTAATCCCGTGCAGAGGATAACTTACAGGATAACGAGGTGTGGAGAGCGCTACTTACRGAGCTCATTCGGGTGGTGCCTCTAATCACACCGACCTCATCCCTGCAGGAAAACCCTTCCCAGAGCAGGAGGGAGGAAATGTACTCAATGTATTCAATGTATTCACCTTTCAGTGCCAGACATGCTTAAAAACCATCCCATCACCGTGTGCCACAGCCTGCGACTCCTCCAACAGCCTCATTACATTTGCCCATGGGATTTGCTGGATCAGGGTCAGAGCATTAAATATTTGGGAGGATTAAGCCTATGCTTGAGTGGTCCAAATCCAACACACACACATATATATATATATACATTTAGAGAGACAGTGAGATATAGACCCAGATATGTGCACATAAGCAGAATACTCTTGTGACCCACAAAGTGCTCCATGAAGCGCTTTCTGCAAAGGAATTAATTCCCAAGAGCATCTGGTGCTGAAATAAGCAAATGAAGGACACAAAACAGAGCCATACTTATCTTCAACTTTCAACGAAAAAATTTATTTACAATAGAGAATTTCATTTGTGACATGCATTTTCCTTTTTTTTTTTTAATTTTTTTTAATTTTATTTTACAAATCAGCAAATGCAGATAAAGTTTACATTCCTTAAGGCAAGAGTCCCCATGCAAGTAATACATGTTCATATTAAATCCAAAAGACATCCAACATGGGAACTCATGTACAAAGGGAAGGCTAGGATCAGCAATTTGTAATTTCTTAGAGAACTTGACAATCTCCCTGATACAGGAACTTTGAGATCAACTTGCTATGAATTATACTATGAAAATGCAAACAATAGCAAGAAATTCTGATAGTCATCTTAGTACTGCATACAATTAAATCAACTTTATTTAGAAAGAAAATACAGTAGTGCATACGAAAAAGTGAAAATATAACCTGTCCACATAAAGGTATGGACATCAGTGTGCCAATGGTCATATTGCACTCAATATCGAAGTCCAGAAATTTGGTTAAAAGTTAGCTTTTCCCCATTTTGGCAATCAGTTCGTCACAAATCTTTGTTAATTCTTCTATCTCTTTATTCTGGAAAATAAAGTATGAAGTATTATGAAAATGATTGCTGCATTAARATGAGAGTGTTTGCTATTTTAATATCATCTCACTTTTGGGAGAGTGTGGGAAAATTAAGTTTTCTCYAATGCTGAGAACAGGATATCTATACATATAAATATATTTGCATATACAGTACAACTATGTGTTCACATTCATAGTACAGCCACATACATTCAAACAAATGCTTCCTTTTTTCCCAAACACAGCTCCTCTGATTTCAATAAATCAAATTTAGMATCAGAGCAGACAGCTTTATAGCAGCCATTCCCAGCACAGCACAATAACACAGAGGAATTTTGTTTTTAGGCTGCACTTTTCTATTTTTTYGTTATTTTCACCCTCGTCTTGCAGAGCTGCAAGCAAGGACGAGCTGTACCATGTCAGAGCGAGCTCCCTTGGCTGAGCTAGAGAACACAGAGATATAAATAGGCATTTCCTACAGACACTTTGGAATTAGCATTGGAATTACAGCTAACACTAAAAAGGGAAACAGAACCTGAGAGAAGAACTAAAGTGAAGACTGAAAGCTGACAAGTGAAGCAAACCTGAGTCCAGCTRCCCCCAGAGCCTGGTGCACACAGGGGGTTTGTCCTAAAATCTGGGCAGTGCTGCTGTCCCYGGGGCCAGGGAGCTGCAGGACAATCCTCAGGCAGAGCCTGGCTCCAGGGAGAGCACACTCCTGATTTACCTTTTGTTCCAGTGTTCTCTCCAAGGCATCCACTTTGAGCTGCTCCTTCCGAAGGCTGGCCTGGTACGCTGCCTGCTCCTGCTGCGCCTTGCCTCTCACTTGTGCAATTTCAGCATTGGCTCTGCAAAAAACACAGGTTTTGGTCACATCAGGCTCTCTAAAGGAAAGGGCAGAGGGTGCTCAAGGTGGACAGCACCTTAACAGAATGGGGGAAAGGGCAGGACTGCCTTCTGAACACCTTGGATATATTCTGACACTCGTCCCTAAACACTTCTCACAACTCCCTCTCTTGCTCAGCAGAGGCTGTACAGTTCTTTTTTAATGTCTGTGTTGCTCTCTTTGTGCTTCTCTCACATATCTGTGCTGGGGTCACAAACATGACTCGGGTAGAAGTGTTTTATGGCAGTTTCCAAACCTGATCTCCAGTTCAGGGSACTGCACCRTGAGTCCTGMATGTGAACAATCCATGCYCCATCYCCTGAAGTGYCCAAGACCARGCTGGAGGGGGCTTGGAGCAACCTGGGATAGTGGAAGRTGTTCCTGCCCATTTCAGGGGSTGGAACTGGATRATCTTTAAGRTCCCTTCCRAGCCAAACCATTCTGTRAATCCATGACTCAATTACCTGTCCAGTTTCTCCTCAGCGTGGATTTTGAGTGCCTGATACCTCTGCTCTTCCTTCTTCACTCGTGACAAATATTCCTGTGCGCATTTCTTCAACACTTCTTCATTCTGAAAAGAGAGGATGACACCAAATTTAATCCAAGGGGTTAAAATGCAGGACAGGCACCTGTTTGTGGGAGTCAGACACAGCTTTCTGAAGGGCTGCAACAGTGACACCCCTACAGAGGCCACCTGAAGGAGAATATAACACAATGCAAAAAAGCTTTACAGTTCTTCTGTTTGCATTTGACAGCCAGCTGCAATCCTCCATTGGAGTATCATGGCCTGTCATGCACTTCAGACCAGATACAGGACATCAGAAATAGCTGAAAACACAAGCCTTGACTTCTTCAAAGGATATGTTAACAGGACTCACCTTCCGGAACCCCTCCAGCACCTCTTTCATTTTCTCGTATCTCCTGAAAAGATCTGCCAGGGATTTCTCCACTGAGTTCAGATCGGCCAAAGCTTGCTCCTTCTCCACGATCAGTTGCTGAACAGTGTGGTGGGAGACAGATTTCTCTCTCTGTTCATCCTCTGAAAGAAGACAGAGGGAGGGAAAAGAGGGATTTTCAGAAGGGTAACACTGATTTCAGTATCATCTGCAATTTCCACTGMACTGTGCTCTATTTGGGTATCAGTAAGTTTACAGGATCCAAAAAARTAATTTTTATATAAAGACACAAACCTATTTTGGGAAAGAGTCGCTAAACACAGTGCTATTTAARTATTTTGATGTTGGGGGAAAATGTGAATGTATCTCTGTACTGCTGATTYCTTCACTCCGAACTCAGCTGTTCCCAGGTGTTGGATTTCCCGTTTGCCTGGAAATGCRYRAGCTAAGGAAAGAATATTCATGCACATTCCTAGCACTGGTCACAAGTTATTTGCCATTGCTTGTCATCTCTTGGCATCTTGTAATCCTGCACAAASAAGGCACTCTGTCTAGTGGAATTCRATTCTTCCCTTGGAAAAGCAGCRTTTTGCCAGCTCTCAGGGTTACTGCAGCAAGTGGCAGAAAGGAAATCTAACATTAGACAGATTTCCTAAGTGYAAAAAAASGGTAAAAAACATCTGCCAAGCTCCTTCTGTGTACAGTTAAATTCAAGCCAGGGATGGTGGGAAGAACATAACAGGAATCCAAATCCATAAGGGGGAGAAATTTTCAAGGGAATTGACCTCATAATAAGCTGGAATATCCACATAACAGTGGGGAAAAAAAAGTCTGGCATTATCTTCCAAAATACTGTATTGTTTCCTTCATATCCTAAACTCTGATTCTTGTGTCCATGTTTTAAGGGCTTCTTTGAGTGACACTGAAAGGAAAACCCACCCACAGAACACAGCAGTTCTGTATTASCATTTTCCTCAGTTTATGATAGAAACTAAAAAAGAGTAAGAAGTTCTGTAGAAAAAGCACGGGGCATTTCACAATGTTCATCTGGGCCTTTATATTTGGAAATATAAAATATAATAATATAAAATAAAAGAATAATTAAAATAAAATCCCTTTGGTTGTCTTTTGTTTATTTTTCTGAAGCTGAGAAGCTGTCTCTTTGTGTTCCAGCACTGGATTTGTTTAATCGTGCTGGAGATTACACCCTGACCAGATAATTCCAAACCCCTTCCTGGCAGGATCCTGTCCTCTGGCAACACTTCTGTCGCTGCAACTCCAGCCACAGCAAGAGTTGGATTTTGGAWCATCATCCAAAATACTTTAATGTGTTTAATGTCACATCTTTACTTTTTTGAGATTGCTGTCTGAGGTATTTTAGCAACTTCCTTGTTTCTAGGGAAATCAGAAAGTTAATAATTCATGTCACACCCCCTCACAGGTACTGAGCTCCTCCTCTTCCTCCCAGCACATAATGGGCCCTCCTCTCTCCTCAGCTGGATCAGCTCCTCACTCAATCCCCAGCACCATTTAACCTCACACATAGGAATTTGGGCCAAATGCTACAGAATCAGAATGGTTTGGGTTGGAAGGGACCTTAAAGCTCATTTAGTTCCACCCTCCTGCCATGGGCAGGGACATCTCCCACTGGAGCAAGTTGCTCCAACCCCAATCCAAGTGATGCTCCCAAACCAAAGCTGTTAAATACTACAAAACCCAGACATTTGGTGGGGGAGGAACTACAGTTTATGTGWTRTTTTCATAAAATCATAGAATRGTTTGGGTTGGAAGGGACCTTCTATTTTCTAGGACTGTGATTTAGTTTCAATGAAATGTGCTGATCACTGTCTGCCACTCAAAACTCAGATAAAGTTGCACATACTTAATCCTAAATATATTCACGAGGTTATGTGATTCAAATATTTTAATTAAAACACTTCCACAGGCCTACAACACACCCTGCCCAGGGCTCACCAACAATAACAGCAGTATGCTCAGGACTAGCACTATCCAAATTGACAGAATCAGAGCACCAACCACGGCAGATCCGCTTTCGGGCTCAGCTCACCACTACTCACATGACTTAATGGGAATGCAGCAAACAGAGAACAAAAGCAAAAGAAATGAAATATGCAAAATGCTGGTGTGAAAGTTGGTGAAAAGCTTTACTTACCAGGCTTGCCTGTTTTGTTTTTGCAAGCAAATAGCAAGAAGCAACGAAAACGGAAGCAAAATAGAAAAATCGGGAATTGTTAGGAAAGCAGCAAATAAGTAATGCAACAACCTGTAATGCACAAAGCATAACATCTGTTTGTTTTTCACAAGGAGAATTTCATCATGTATTTGAAGTATAAGGACACATTTTTAACAGGAAAAAAAAAACAAAAACCAAACCAACATTAGAAATCTGYCAGTGAAAAGGAATTGGGATGGGGATTCTGGCTGTGAATCAGGTCACAGGAGGAGGGTGGGGTGCAGGGAACTTTGGGGTCACACAGGCTCTGCTCCGTGGCTGTCAGAGCAACCATGGGCACCAGGCACAAAGCAGCAGCACAGGCTGGCCTGGAAAGCCTGGTCTTTCTTCTCCCCCATCCCTCAGTATGTAAGAAAAAAAGTAAAAAAACTTAAAGCAGAAGTTAAAAAAATATACCAAGTGCCATTAAGAGGGATCTCTACAGTGACAGCCTGCAAGCTCTGGCTGCAGACTGTGGCATGAACTCCTCACATCAGCTAATCTGAGTAATATTGGGTTCCATGTATGTATGACAGCAAATACAAAACCTTCCACTCTTGGAATCAAAGGCAATTGCTGCTTGCAATCACATTTTCATGCCTTGAGAGGCAAAAGGGGACAGTCATAGATTCTCAATATGGGATATTGTCAATATTCACTATGCACACACATGCCAACCTACAAAAAGCTCAGTGGGACCTATCAACCTCACTGAATATTCATCAAAGGGRTGGGTGAAATTGGTTCATGTGCAGTGCCCTTCTCACGGGGCTGTTAAATAGTTCAGAAGGGTTAAATGATTCAACAGAAACAGCACAGGCATTTCTTTTGTTAAGATGCATATTCTGCTCTAGCACTGAGGCATTTTTGTGATCACAGGTCACTGAAGAACATGCAAACAGCAAACRCACACGTGTTTTCCTCCACATGGGGTGTGTTCGGATGAGAGAATTCCTTTATCAGAAGGGACAGCAATTTACAAGAAATGGCATGAGAAAGTGGGACAGTTAGATCCAAAATTTACATTAAATGCAGRGAGAAGCCTCACATTTAACGTATTACCATGCTGTAGGATTTGCATACTGCTCTAATTAACACAGAAAGGATGTTTTCTGTGTYGCTGTTGTTGGTTCAGCTCCTTTGCAAACACACAGCAAATTAAATTACTTACAGCCACAGCACTTAAAAACTCACCACAGAGCATCTTAGAGGCTCTGATACTCCAAATCTCTGTTTTATAGGTCTATTTACTCAGTGTTCAATGGCCCAATGCTTAAATTATCCTTCATTCTTTGCAACAGRAGAAAGTGGCAATGGTGGGATGTACAAAGTACAACATGGCTGTGCCTTTGCCTCAGGACTCCGATGCCATATCTAACAGTTGTGCAGCCTCAAAACTCATTGTTTTTTAAAAAAAATCTGTTTCTCAAAAATAGAATTTGAATTTATTATGAAAAAGAAACTTCTGTTGCTAACTGYAARCATAACTTAGGAAACAAGGACAGGTCCTGTSTATGTCCTTATCACTGGGAGGCTGRGGGTGGAAGCCATACCAGGGTATATTCATTGTACACCAAAATAAAATAAATTCTTTGCATACTCTGGTCACTCCAGCTTTAACATCTGCACGATGACAATGACAGACACCATGTCAGAAGGCAGCAAGTTGGCTCAGTTGTACRTACAAAAGGCAATGGAGGCACAGCACCAGAGAGAATGAAGCYAGGCATAGTATCAGTGTTTGTTATTCATTATTATACACTTCATTAATTATTATTGTTGTTGTTCTCATAAAATCTTATTTATTTATAGCTCCAGTTTACCCTTCACTTGAAAGGAAATGGCTGAAAAATCCATGAAGGCAGCAAAAGCACCAGACATGGATGCTCTTCCAAGCAATTYTGGCCCTGGAGATCCCAAAATCCCACTCAGCCATTTGCCTTTCTGGGAAACAGCTCGAGCTGAAGCACTGCAAGGCAGCACAAGCCACTGGTGCTTTCTATAGCCAGACTAATAAAAAGAGCTTTAGAAATCTTAGAGGAGGCTTTAAATCACATCCCAGGGGCAGACCTCCCCTGCCAAGGAACCACATGAGCCCGGCAACCTTTGGGTTTGAAGTGCTACTGAGCACAGAGTTTTATATTAGTGGGACATGCCATGAGCAAAGTTGTTTTTTAATGACTGAGAGGCAAAACTTGCCACAACTCAGACCTAAAAGGAGACCCCTGTGCCAGTAAGAAACTGGGGGTGTGGGCTGGCCACTCGTAAGCTCCCAGCTGGGATTGGAGTTAATCTCGGTTTTGGTCTGATCGATGCACTTAGCACAGATAATCCCTGTTGTTGTAAAGAGCTAAGTTTGGTATCTGCCATTAAACTGCTGGGAGCTGATGCCTTAAGGGGTTTTTAGGTCAYTGAAAGTCTCTCCTGGAGAAACCCATGAGTTTGAACCTGTTTCATGGGCCACTTTGCTTTGTTGCAGAAGGGAAAGCTCTGAGCTTTCTGTGTTACCTGAGCTGCCCTGGGAAACGAGGCCCTGACTTTTCCTTACTCYGCTGTCCTCAGATGCATTCACAATTCCCTGCAGCATCAGCAGATGCAGCCAGCATCAAAATGAAGCCCAARGACTTCAACCAGGGAGCATCTTGCCCAGCAGGAACACCTACCTATCATCTGAGCAATCGTCTTCTCGTACTCCGAAACTATTTTTCTGTAAGAGGGGAAAAAACAAGAAAGAATAACTTTTGACAAACACATAATTGTTCATGCTTACTTAGCAAATAACACTATGATTAACTGAGCTGTGGTGTTTTTAAGAGATACAGAACACCATCACGCTTTAATTTGTTCTTTGTTGCCTGAGTAACAAACAAAACTGTCAATTTTAATACTTCACAGATTTTTAATTCCTCATGGAAATCAATAAATGTGAGGGAAGGAAGAAGAGACTGCTTTGAAACAGATTCTGTATTTTGAAACATCACCCATCATCATTATAAACATAATCACACTGCTCTAACTCAAGAACTATGAAGAGCCTGATTTTTCCATTACTTTCTCCCYTCTTCTTCATATTTATGTTGGTTTATTTTTAACATAAACTTTAAGTAAACTTAAAACTGGTAGCAAGTAAATCTAACAGGAGCAGAGTTGGCCGCCACCCAAAATATATCTCATCTTCTAAATGTATYTTCTCGTGACTAAATGATTCACAACCACTTAAAAGAACAAGATCAAAATATTCAACTGTGTAGCACAAAATCCATCATGTCCCATTTCCCAAATCTGTTCTTGAAGCAGAGGTGGCAAAAAATGTTACTTTTAAGACTGTTTTATTTCGTATACTCACGGCAGGCTTTGAATTCCCTTCTTGCAAAGAGGTTAGCCAAAATAAGCAGATTAAATGTGATTTAGAAAGATGATCCATCCCTTCCCAGAGCCAAATAAAGCTAATGAAATGAGACTAGCTTGATCTGTGCTTTGATTCATGAGCCACACAGGACCGTCTACAAAAAACAAAATTACTCCACACTTCATCTGAAGTGGATATTCAAACCAGCTCACTGCAGTTTGAATTCACCTCTTCTGAAGCTTTCACTTGCTCCATTTTTAGAGGTGAGGTTGCAGAGAAGATGTGGGAAAATCCCGAGAGAAAATGCAATAAGGAAAGGAAAATCTTGCAGAGCTCCCCAAAAACTGCTGCAGTAACTGGAGCACTGCCTCTAATCTGAATCACAGACAGTCCTGAGCCCTGAGAAGGGCACCTGGCCCCAGGATCAGCAGCACCTCCCCTGCCCTGGTCCTGCAGAGCACTCAGCAGAGCAGGGGCTCTACCCCTGAGCAGTGGGATTTTTCCTTTCAACCATAAAGGACGCTTTGGAGAGCAAAGATAACAGCAAGGAATTTTCCCCTAAAAGGAAGGGTTTGGTTTCATGTCCAAAGCAGATTAGCTCAAAAGCCTGCTGTAAGCAATGAGGATTTTAGAGCTTTGTCATATCCTTGTGACACAAGGCACCTTTAGGAAGTTTTATCATCCAAGAAACGAAGCCAAGGACTCAGGGTACACGGGGTAAGGAACAAGACATTACAACACTGCAGCACTTCCCGGGGAAGAGTCTGCTCCAGATTCATGTCAAAGGTCTCTTTCAGTCAAGCAGCCTAAATAATGGTCCCCATTACAGYTGGGGAACCCAAGGGTGCTGCCACATCATTCCTCTTTGGGAGGGCACATTTTAACCCAGCCTGACACATAACACAGGCTTTAAATGTTGCTGTTTTAGACATTCAGTCTGTTCACTGACTGCACATTTGAAAGTCATAAAAACACCAGAATCCAGGCCTACAAAGGGTCTCAGAGGTCATCTGTCTGACTTCTGTCTGACTTCCCTTACAGAGCCATCATCAATCAGACCTCCAAAYAACCACAGTTAAATATTTCTTGCCCTCCTCTGGTTGTACTCTTGGATTATGGTACAGCCCACTGTGGTTCAGCTCTTCCATAGCTACTGTGTTATTAAACCTTCTCATTTTGGCTTCTCTTCTCTGAGTGGAATTCCTCCAGACTGATGATTTCCTGSAAATTTAGATTAATTCAGGATATTCCAGCTGCAGCATGCAGGACATGGGTACAGGAGCACTCTTCTCCTCCTCTGTGAAGTGATGCTTTTGTGCCTGCAGCTTTAAATAATCCCTTCACTCCCTGCTTATCATTATGTCATGTCTCCTTACTGCATATCTAATTTACCACACATGGACTCTTTGAACATTTAAACTTCCAAGAGAAATCTTTCTTTGTGCACATATGCATATTTATCATTTTGTGACAACATTAGCCAGACTTCTTCTTCCCATCCACGCATTCCAGGCATGTGTCTGTGGGATATTTGGCATAGTTAATTTTGTTTTTTGGTTTGTTTTCTTTTTCTCAAATCAGATTTTATGGAGGGTGGAGACACACACAAGCAGATCACTGTGAGAAAGATGAAGGTGCAGCCCCACAGTGTGCCAGCTGCTCTGTGCCACCCTGGCTCTTGGCAGCCTGGCAGTGCCCGCTGGCAGCCAGCAGCCACGTGCAGCCCGACACAGAACAGAGCAGGCAGCACACTTGAGTGTGAGCTGCACACTGAGACATTCCTCACAGCCCTGCAATACAATTCCTTACAATTCCCTCCCTGTTTTGCTCCCTCTGTTTGACTGCTCGCAGCCACTCCGTCCTGTTTCTCCTCATTAAGCATTTCAGGGCTATGCCAGGGCTTTGTTCCCTTTCCCAACAGAGCACAAGGCAAGTGAGAAAACTCAGCTGGGCACTGGGAGGTGGCAAAAAAGGAATAAAGAGGCTGCCCTTGCCTTTTGCAGATGCTTCTCTTAAGATGCTTTGGCTCAGAGCCCCGTGCTGCCACTACTCCAATCTGCCATGTGCARTTCCTGGCATCCAAGCAAGCGTTTGTGGAGCTCTGCACTGCAGCTCCCTTCTACTCTCCCTCCCTAAATACAGTTTTCCTGGATATAAGCAGCAATTGCTTATGTAGGTCATCACTAGACACTGAGTTTAGCTTTAAATCACTGAGACTCTTCATTTTGGGAAGAAACTGGTGCTAGAACAGAAGGGATTTTAAAGAAAATTCAGGCTTAGRAGCGTTTGTATAAATCTGACAGTTTCCTTTCATTTATGAGTTAAGAGGGGAAACCATTTTTTCTGGTTTTCGAAGATAGAGAATTATAAGATTCAAAGATCCCATTAAATTTTTTAATCATTCTCTTTTGCAATTGATAGCTTTCAGATCGATGAGCAGGTCAAGCTCATTGCTTTGTCCTTCTTATGGTCSTACCAACTATAAAAAAAAAAGCAAAGCTGAACCTTTCAACTGACTGAATGGRAGGCATGAGTGCTTCTTTGAGTAGCTCAAAATCCACTAAGGGATTTTGTTGTCATCCTTGCAAGTGGTAGGACCTGGGCTGGAAAGGAAGGTCAAACCATGTTGCAGTATTCAGATATTTGATGCAATAGAGGCAGGTTTGTAAGAGAAATAAATTGGAAAAGACACAATTCCATTTCAGAACAAACTGAAAAGCTCAGGGTCCTTCTGTCAGCTCTCAAAAGGAACAGTGAAAGCTGAGAGCACTATTGCTTAACTAAAATCAACCTTAGTGTGTGCAGTAATTAAAAATAGTTCAAAGAAAAGGGTGTAGAATCTCCTTAAAAGCCAACATTCAGAGYGGTTACTCTACAAGAAGTTTTTCTACTGACACTGGGTTTTGATTTCTACTGTTAAACCATTCACAGTGATGTCCTGGAGGGAGCCTGTACCACTCAAAACTATCTGCAACCTTTCCATTCTTCCCTACATTCTTTCCTTTTCCCAAGCAAAGCTACTCGTGGAAAGTGAATTTAACACTGTCACGAGCATCCCCCTGCTACCTCTACAGGCAACTCATCCAGTCTGCAACAAGAACTTCAGGAACTACACAATCCGTGAGAGAATTCTCTCACAAACCAGAGGAAATCCTTCTCTGACATTAACCTGGAGTAAAACCTCCCTCATGTCAGTATTCTGAGGATGGGAATGAACATTATCAACTGAAAACACTCAAGCCCTGAACTGGGCTGCCTGCCATGCAGAGAAAAGACCAAGTATCAGTTCAGGATCAATCCAAAGCCCAAAGTTCAAAATAATGAAGCAAATTCAGCTAGGCAAACAGCTGTATGAGCATGGTACTCTGTGTGCTACCCACAGGCTGAGATGAGACTCTCTGACAGTGKGATTAGTGACAAGCTAATAGCTCACCTCATTTCCATCACTTCCCTTCTGCTTTCTTCATATTTCTCTTTCCATTCAGATACTTCCCTTTCCTTGGCAACAATCTGAAACAGAGAAAACAAAGGGGAAAAAAACCCCACTGGACTGAAAATACCCATTTTTTAACAGCTAATACTAGCCAGACTAATATGATACACAGCTTTGTAAAATACATAATTTCATTCCTATTTCGAGCATCTTACAGTTTTTATAATTATATAACAATGTCACAATGCACAGGGTACACTTGAGGTTTAAAAACATGAAGATTTATTTTTACATCATATCTGCTTTTCAGTTTTACTTGTAAAACAAGTAAAACTTGCAGTGTAGCACCTTTTGCTTTAGTGTTCCAAGAACAGAGCAAGTGCTCAATAACATAAAGCTTTTGGGGGAAAACAGGCAAAAATGGAGCAACAAGGGGCAGTATTTACTTTCCCAAATTCTGGAGACAATTACCTCTGCTCTGGCGAGCCTCAGGGCAGCATCCAAGTCCTGCTGGGGGTAGAGCAGAGCTGTGCTGCTTTCTGCATCCGAGGCACCCAGGCGGGAGTACAGCGCGCTTTTGGAGATGGAAACATCTGCTGGGATAGCAGGTTCTCTCTGTGTGTTTGTTTTTTCAAATACAAAGAAATGAACCAGTAAATAGGTGTTTAGCTCACGTGTTCTCAGGCAGGGTCCTGAGTTAGGAYCAGAGCTCTGTGCAACTCTAAATGACAGCAGCAGTAACCCTGACAAGGAGCTCTGAATTCAGMAGTCATAAAATATACATTTAAAATCCATAAGAAGCACCGAAAGAGCCACATTACCTTTACAGGGAGAAAATAAAGAGCATTTTGCCATCAATATTTTAAGGTGTTATCTTAGAAAATGCACTGCTTTTCACCACAACATCCACAAGAAATGCACACCAGCAGAAGGAATCAAAGGCAGAGAGCTTGTTAAGGGGAGCTCTGCTTCCACAAAAATAAATCAAGAAACCAGATGCAAGAGGACAGCTTGCTTTCTTAGRTCTGACCTGTCAACACGTGGTATCTATAACAAAGAATATCACATGGAAAGGGTGGATTTGCAGGTGACACTGCTGTCCCAAAGGTGTCCAGCATGCGATTAGTCAGTTAAATGAGGCTCTTTTTGCTCATTTTGTCAATTTTGCTCATGTCAGCAGCCCAGATTAAACAGGGGAGAGCAGCACGTGAAATCAGGAGAGCGAAGACCAGGAAGGTGACACTGAGATGCAGGAGATGTCTCACAAACAACCCTCAATGCAAACAACCCAAGCTACAGCACATTAAACCAAGGAGACTATAAAAGATAATTCACAGAAACCCAGAATGGTTTGGGCTGAGAGGACCTTAAAGCTCATTCAGTGCCACCATAATTATGAGTAGTAACCAAGAGGTTTTCTATTAATTTTTTACAAAAAAGAGAGAAAAGAGTATTTTCATTAATTTTACTGCAAAAGGGTGGTTTGTTTTTGTTTCAGGTTTTTTGTTTGGATTTTATTTAAAACAAAATAGCAGTCACACTCTACTGACTGAAGCACAGGAATGTGAAAGGGAGTGGATAATGTCTGGATCAAGGTTCAGTGCTCATTAATTTCAACATCACATGTTCTTGTCTCAACACTGGTAAAGGAAATTTTGCCAGATGCTACTCCATAAAACATTGGCTTCCTCACAGTTCTTCTCACACTGCCTCGGATCACAGAAAGGATCCAAACCCACTGTTAATTTTGTAATCCCTGGTGAGTTCTCATATCACACCTGACTGAAGAACCTGCGTTAAAAATTGTACACAATGCACACAGGACCAGATGTTCTGGATATCACATCTGTAGGGATATAAAAAACACTAACAACATTAACAGACTAGGCAAGAAGATTCAATTAGAGCAAGAATAACCTAAACAGTACTTACAGAACACCTCACTGCATTTTCACTTACAGGAGACTCACACATTTGCTTTGTACTTTTTGTTTTAAACCKGGGAGTCAATTGACTACTCTAGGATTTATGGAGCAGGACATCCCTTCTCTGTTTTTGCTACCTTTAACATCAACCCAAAATAATGATCAATTCCAGCAGAATTAAGAGGTGCAACCTCAAATGCAGTGGATTTTCCTACCAGAGCAAAAAGCATTCTGAGATCTGTCAAAACTGCATACCCTGTTTTCTTGAAAGTATTTTCCAATGTACAACAATTATATAGGGAAAAAGRTGTCTGGGACAAAAGCTCAGACATCTCTGTAAATGCATAAATACCAAAAAATGTATTTTAGTCCCTCCTCAACAGCAAGGCAAGAATAACTGAGAGATAAAAAAGAGCCATTAGATCATCAAAGCTGTCCTCCAAAGAAAGGCCATCCCTCAGATCGATCTGCTGAACTGCATCTGTCACATTTCAAAAGCCTCCTGCAGCTTAATTTGCYGGATCTCATAAAGAGATTGCTGGAAAATATTCACTGTGCCAAAAAGAAACAGAAATTTCCTCAAGCTCATATAAAAACATGTCAAAGTAACTATTGGGATGATGACAGTTTTTTAAAAAAAAGACATTTAAAGCACTTAAGACATACTTATAGGTATTTTTATACAGTGCACAACACATGAATACACTTAGATTTTCTCTAGTTCTCTTTGCATTTGAGTAACTAGTACAAAACTACAGCAATAATAACATGCAAAGCAGGTTAAAATTTCTAAAAGTGACTGTAAAAACTCTTGGAATTTATCCACTGGGCAGAAATGCTTGTGGCAGTGATCCAACCAGTATTGCCTTAACTGTGGGAGCACCCTGCACAAGTCACACCTGGGCTCTGTGTCAGGAGTAACCTCATGGTTTTACTTCAAAAGCCAATTTTACACAGCTCCTAACTGATRCATAACCCAGGAACTGTTATTTACTGCCTGTAAAATATTCCTGCCCCGAGAAAACAACAGAACCTGACCAACAGGATGATGGTATTACCCAAAATAACCCAATAATAATGCTTTAACACCTAATTGCTGAGAAGGTAAGCAGTTAATTGGGGTAATAATCAGCGCAGGGATTTGTAAGTCACTAAACCTTGCACAGAAAGATTAGAGTCTTCAGGGGAATTACTGGGAAATGTAGGTCACTGCAATCTTAGTGTAAATATTTGAAAGCTCAACACACTTCTCTYCCCAGCACCTTTCACAGAAACCAGATATCTGACCAGAAGGGGAATAAATGCACATCCATTAACCAGCTGYAGTTATCTCACTTACAGGAGGTCAGAGTTGAACAAAACAGAGAAATGGAATGAAAATGAAAACTGGTTTTTATCACAGCATTTAGAGGAACATGTGTTTAGTCCTGCTGAAAATGAGGCCACCCTTCCCAAGCACTGAAATGCAGCCTGACTGTGCCTGGATCGATGGAGTCTTTAACTCATTTAATTCATGTGTGAGCAGACAGGTCACTGCAGGCAAAGGGAGACCTACTTGTGCTTGCAAATCCATGGAAAGGCGAGGAAAACCCAAGCAGAAGCRTTCTGCCTGTGAAGTTTTGCCAAAACCAATGGCATTGCGGTCTGAAGGAAATATTCCTTCACCACCATGAACCCCCCAAGGCTGTGGGGCACTAATCCCATTTTTGCCCATGCCTTTCCTTTCAGTCCTTTCCCTTGGATTCAACACCCAACTCTCCATCACCTCAGCAKCCAAAGGGTGGTGGACACAAAACCTCTTCAAGCTGCACCTATAAAAAATGGGCTCAGGATATCCAGATGGAGACTGTTCAACAGAAAAGCATTAATTCACCTCAATGCAGGAAGACGGGAATATTTGGCAAGGTAAGAACAGGTGACAGGTCCTGCTGTTGTAAGGAATTTGAGAATGGCCAAACAACTTCCTTCTGCCTAAAAACAACAAACTGCACATCCTTATTCTCACTCCTAGTGCTAGCACGAAATGCTTATATTTAATTCTTACTTCAGGTGACCTAATTCATCACACCAAGTGCTTCTGTCTTTATTTATCATTCTATTCTTGTTACCCATCCTGCAATGGTTTAGCAAATGTTAAATGTAATTATACAGCATTCAGAGAAGGGAGGCCAGCCATCCAGAAGGGAATTCTGCCAGCAGCATCCAAATTTAAGTCACTGCAGTCATCTGCTGGTTTCTACTCTACTTAATCCAGGCCATCAGTCACTGTAGGTCACGAGGGGTGTCATCACAGGCTAATTTAACACCAGCAGCCTCCCACTGAAATAGCAAAGTTATGCAAGGACAAAAGTCCTTCCCAGCCTAACCTGACACCCACGGTATCTGTCCACAAGTGTTGCTGTGGCTGCACCAGCAAGGGGCTTTGTGAACACCACACTACTGCCAGTTCTCTGTCAGACAGGGGAGTTTTGCCTGTTGTGCTCTCCTCACCTCAACTTATCTTTTTTTTCTATCTTTTTTTACACGGATTAATGACATTTTCTAAGAAGTCCCATGAAATCCGCTCCCCATTTCTAAGTTCCAAGGAGTTCAAAATGTGTTTCAAATAAAGCAAGATGCTGTGATGATGTTGAACAGCATCTTTAAAATGTAACCCCACATTCTATAAAATTTCTGCAGCTCAGAATCTCCCCTGGTAACTCACAAGTGTTCACAAACACACAAAACCATTCTCTTCAGTCTAAAATGCTACAATCTGTGAGTTCCTGAATCACTGGCTGGTTGCAAAAATGCAGATTTTTAACAGAAGTTTTTTCATTAACTCATGAAGAGCATCTATGTGTTATTATCTGTYTCRTCTCAGGTGTTTTCTGGTGCTGGARGGCCTGAATCGTGCACATTCCAGCAAAGTGCTGCAGGATAAGAGAGGCAGACAGAGAATTAGGAGGTAGAGAGGATCGAGGGAAGATTCCACCTCCTTCTCTTCCAACACCTGACACTCAGGGCTGCAGAGCAAGGGCTCATAGTCACACACAGGCTACTACTCCCRCAGGAAAAATGTTAATTTATGGTTTTCCTCCTTTGTTCTTTATGTTCCTTATTATTAGTTTAGGCCTGGTTAGTCCTTCTAATGAAGACAACAGCATCTTTTTCTTAATTAAATAAAAGACTGTAACCACATACTCTAAAATACTTTTAGGTCTCCGAGGAATGTGTCTACCTCAGTCATTCTATATTCACAATGGACAACTGGCTCATGAGCTATTTAAGTTTTGTGAAATAAATCAAATATGATCATTGCTTTTTTTTTCAGAGGAGTACAGCTAACCTTAAAAAAAAGATCCTTACTTTGATGAAATAGCTGCTTAATAACTGATCTTAAAAACACCAAGAAATCCTACCCTGTAATCAGCCTAAATGCTGTTGTGATGCAATGAAATGCAGACAATTTTAGGATTGGGCAAAAGACTTCCTGCTGACTTATTAATGGGCAGTACAAGAGGAGGAAAGTCACTGGAGAAGGGCATGTCAGAAGCACTTTCTCCTCATCTGTAATGAAATTTCTTGCTGCAGCAGGACACTGCCACCCCCTCAGCATCCCAATCAGCTGACATCCTCTCCCAAGAAAGCCACTAACATTGATGGAATGATTTTTTTGGCTTTCCAAGCACAGTGAGCTCCACAGTGCATCCCCATAGCAGAGCAAAGCATTGCTCTGAGGTACAACTGGTCAGCACGACCTGGAAGTAACAATGAAAAAAACAAGCCTTACATCTTTATGAATAAAGACACATTGTGTTGGGAGGCCTTTTTTCCTCAAGAGCTGTAGAGCCCTTCTCTACAGCCCTTCCCACCTTGCTGCAGCCCCTTTCTTCAGATGCCTGAGGGTAAGGTTGACTGAATTCCTCACTTCTAAACTTGGAGGGTCAAAGGTGTCTGACTTCAAGCTGAAAATACCAGCAGAAGACAGATGTCCTYATGGCCAAAGTAGGTATTCTTCACCATCAAATATTTTAGGACAAATCTTGCTGCAGCAAAGTGGCAAACAGCCACCTGGACTGCAGAGCCCATCTCCTGCAGGAGAAATGCTGTTGCTTCTTACCTGCTGTTAATTTGGGTGTGAGTGGGGCGGGTGACAGCGTTTGCGTGTCAGCTCTGCTGCCAGCATGCTCCTGGTGTCCCCCCAGGGCCCTGGAGAGCCCCAGAGGGTCCCCTGCTGCAGGAAAAGCAGCCCTGGGCTCTCCCCAGGCTGTGCACACTCACACACACAGGGCAGGCACAAAGCAGGTACCTTGGAGCGCAAAGAGGAGAGGGCAATCTGCCTGGCTAACTTCAGCGCTTCTATCCTCATGGCAGCAAACTCTAACTCCTCCTGTCAAAGGGTGTGGTGGGCAGTCACCCACGGGGAAAGAAATGGAGTGAGAACATGGTAAAAATGTTTAACATTCTGAAAAATGGAGTGTCAGGTTTTAACGTGTGATTCAGACAATTCCTGGGGGACAAACACACCCCAGGTTCCTCTCATGGTGAGGACAGTGATGTGAAACTCCAGGAGTYAGTTAATTTTGAGGTAGCTCTATAGATAAATAATTTTTATTAGGTGATAGTATGAACAATCCTTTGCGTGAAAGAAACTGATTTTTCAGGGATCCCTCTCCTTTCATTTCCATTTATGTGAACTTATGCCACATGCTGGCCTCAATTCACCATTTGCTGTTTTAAAATTTCACTATAAATGTTCCAGAAAATATGTCTTGACATACATGACTGCCCTACAGATYAATTTGCTTCTCCCAGAAGAAGCCATGCCAAATTCTGCATTAGGCATATTATTAGAAAAACAAAGCCTGATTTTCATTTCAGCAGAATTAGGTCCTAGATCTCAAAAAATGAATCTATACATACAGATTTACTAAGGCCAGGTGTCAAGACAACTCTCCACTCATCAATCCTGTGTTCAGGGTTAAAAAAATTTGCTTTGGAAAAACTTATGGAAAAGACATATGACAGAAGTGTTGATGAATAGGTGTTGATGAAATTTAAGTATGGATTATGTGAGTTAAATGAAAATATCTTTGTTCCTTAAGTCTTTGAAAGGGCAAAATTAGTTTGGAAAGAATCAAATAATTGTTTTAAGTCTTTTCCACCCAAGCCTAATCCCCTCCAAGCCTCCCTCCACCCCTTTCAGATGAGGCAAAGCATTCCTCTGCCTGTGTAGGGACAAACAGAAAGAAAAGCGATGTTGATATTTCTGCTACAAACCTGAAGTTTCTGAGCAAATACTGGGGGGTTCTTTTCTGCTAAGTCAGGATCTAGATATTCAGGCTGATCACATATTGAGGTTTTCTTAGATATCCTATTGAGAAGAGCATCAGCAGAGACAAAGGAGTCTTCAGGAGATGTCTGAAGGGTGAAGAGGATATTGAATAAGCAATAGAGATTTTTGCCCAAGGAGTTCAGGTCAAAAGCAGAATGCAAAACTTCTGCAGGAAAATTATTCCCGAACTCTGTATCACACATGACTTACTATTTCAATAGCCTCTGGAGTYGTTCCTAGGGTCATGGGCTCCAGGTCCTTCTGCTTTGCCTTGTCAGGGGACTGTAAATGTGCCTCCTGGCTGGCAGCTAGGACTCGGGAAGCTGGGTGTGGTATTTTCATTCCAGAGGACTGCTGGCCTTCAGGGTCTTCAAAACTCGACCTGGAAAAAGATTGTGTACATGTTTTCAGGGTGGAGCACAAGGCCTTCACAATTCTGCTTCTGGAAACAGAGGAGCAGAAACATTCATCACTTTMATGTGTATATAAATACAAAAATACACTTATATATACACACACACACACACACACATTGTTTCAATTCAATTTTACATCATTATATCTCATGCTTGGCAATRTCCTTTCAAAACAATCCACTGGAGACATCTAAATAAAACCAGCTCCATCAGAAATGTTAAGCACATTCCTTCAATATTTGTCACTTGCCTTTTTACCCTTATCTCATTGTGAGCGACCTCTCTCCCAACAAACAGCTCTTACTAACAAGAACAGATGTCCTTWACAGGCAAAATTAATGGCAGTAAACACAACTCCCACATCCTGGTCTTATGAACAAGAGTCCTTGTTCAGAMAATGTATCCAGGAAAAGCCAAATGAAAAACTGCAATTAGCAGATTTCTAGATTAATATGAAAATTACCTCAGTATCTGAGGGAAAAACTTGAAGTAGGAGGCCACTGCCCAGTGAATCAGTTGCCACTGTAACTCTGTTTAGTGAGAATGTGAAGGAGAAATATCCGTCCTTATTCCATCACAAAACACATCTTTGCCCTCTGTTCTCTTTCATATGTGTACACAGATGGAAATCTATTTTTAAACAAATAACTTGGCAACACAGAGGCAGAGGGAGGAAGAGCTGCCCGTGTACGTGCTCTGAGGGCAGCCCACTCCCCTGACACCCTTTTCCTTGCTTGCAGTGCCCTACCCTGAGCAGGGAGTTGTGGAGTCAGACAGTCGGATGGGAGGAGATTTCACCGGGCTCTCCTGCTGTGCATCAAACACGAGGTACAAGGACTGCTTCTTCGGGGTGCCATCATCCTGCTGGCAACAGGCAGGGAGAAACTCATTAAGCAATTCAAGCGTTCTCCATTAAAGCTAATTCAGGTCACTGAAGCCTTTAGTGAGCAAATGAGTTGACAGACAACGAATAATACAGGGCTGTAATGCTGATACTGAGATGAACCATTAAAGAACAAAACCCAMACAGTTCACTCTKTGTAGTGGYTCTTCTTCTCCCAGTTTGGGGTTAATCAGATTTCTGGTCCTGTCAGGCAGGAGGCATCCCTTGGCTGAGGGTGTTACTAAAATATTMATTGAAAATTCTCATTGGTTTAAGTGCCACATGCCTGATTTTCCTAATTTCCCCTTAGTGGATATCCCCTCATTGGATTCAGTCAAACTATCAGATTCATGGATTAAAAAGAAATAAGGAAAAACAATTGAAAACGGATAGTTCTGCATTCCATATTTCACACCAGTTCTGTTTCTCTCCTGATTCCCTCCAGCTTMTTCAAAGTTTTACTCCCAGTTTCTKAAACAGTTCAGTAGTTTGTGTAGACAGGTCTGAACTCTGCACTGCTGGAAACACTGACTGGCCTTGAATCTCCAGAAAGAATCATAGTATGATGCTAGCTTTGAAATAAAATCWTAAAATGGGACTAGCTTTACAGGACACAGGACAACAAAGCACAGGCAATTTACCCCAGTTATGCCAATTTAAAGGAACTGGTTTTGCAAATCTACTKCAGGCACATAGTAATTAATTTAAAGGGTGGGGAGGCTGAGGGCATTATCAGGATAGTATATTATGACAAGGGAATGCAAATGAATGGAAATGGAAGGGAGAACTTACAGGCACAGAGGGGCCTATTTTCTCCATATATTCTATTTCATATGAGTTGCCATATTCCAATTCTGCAACAGAAACAAAAAAAAAGATGTGTTAATACATGCCATGACATGATTTCTGCAGAAGAAATGAGATCTCACTTACAAGGGCCACTCCCACTCTACTCAACACCTTCCCATGACATATTAAAAATAGAAAATACAGAGAGAAATCAGAAGGTACATTGATATTCACCGATTTTCAACAATGAACCTATGACACATTTCAGGCAAATTAGTTTGCCTGAAAAAAATTCAGCTTTTCAACTTGCCCCAGGGACCAGAATATCAGGAAAGTTTCAKAGAAATTTCAGAATACAGATAACTTTCCCCCATCATGTTATCACAGAAAACACACTTTTTCAATAACTGGCAATGCTGATGCCAGAATCCTTTAAAAAAATTAACAGCTGTTGAGTAATTAATTGTTTTCTATTTCTWAATGTTTATCATAAAATTACTAATTCAGAACAACTACTGTCTCACTTAAGAAAAAGATACCTAAAAACCATGAAATTAGCATGGACTGGGGTGAAACACCAGCTCAGTTTACTGGGGGCTGCTCTCACCTTTTGGTCTYAGAGAAAAAGCCTAAGGCAGAAGATTTATTAAGAACCCTAAATCAAGAATTTAATAAAAATGCAGCTCTTTACAGCTTCTATACTTCCAACCTCCAGTTGGAGGGAATAATCAGCATTTCTGCCCAATGCATGGTCTCCCAGTAGCTGATACAGAAGCAGACAGATCTAACACAGGAAAAGAGATCATACCTTCCTGCACSCAAATAAAAGCATATTTTGTTCAATGACAACTTAATTTAAAAATTGAAAGCATAATTAATTTGTCCAAATGCTGTACTTTAGCCTGTTTCCAGACACATTGCCATAATTCAATAAACCACTTGGATAATTTGATTTCCATTATAAATAAATTCTAAGGAATGGCACACCAGCCAAAATCACATGCTAAAATCCTACTAGATTTGGGCAACTTTTGAAAAGTAGGGCTTGCATTAGGAAGATGATAACCACCATTAAAACCTTTGATATTAAAACCAAACAGCCCTGAAGATAATTTCTTGCCTGAGTTTGTTGCCTAAACAAGTTTTGGAGATGCAGTGTGATTTTACAGTGCTTGATTTTTTTTGGTAATAAAAAGAACACTGTAATTCTACAAGCTAAATCTTTTGTCAAACAACCACTGCAGAGAAAGCGCCACAAAATCTCAGTACTTGTTGGGGATATTCACAGTACAACTTGTAAGTGAAAAGAAAGCTGCAATAGCAGGCTCCTCATATTTAAATTCCCAGCACCATATGTTTTAATGGTAATAGGGAGCCAGGCAAGATGGACAACCTCCTGGTGTCAGATACCAGCAGCATCCTTTCTCACTCACTTTTCTTCCCGGTGAAAGCAAAACCAAAACTGGAAGGACGAATTCAAACCCCCTACRAGGAGCTGAACTGCAGGAGACAGCCTGAAATCCCAGGTAACAGCAGAGAGTGTTTAGAAACTGCCTTTTTCTATTCCATTTCTCACAGGCAGCCCAGTGAGGTGCACCAGGAACGTTTATGGAGCAGCTTTACGCTGCAGAGAGCAATCCCTGAGTGTCCAGAGAGTCAGGAAAYGCTCCGGCACTGTCCTCTGCTGGCACAGCCACAGGGATCCTCCACCTGCCTGCAGCTCTGCAATCCCAATCCAAACTGACTGCTGGGACAACACACATTTAACTCTGCTGCTGGGAAAAGAAAGAAAAAAAAAAAGGCAGGACACAGATGGAAATAGTCCAAGTAGAAACAAAAGGAATAACACGGCTGGCTAATCGCAGTTTGTTTCGTCTCACTGCTCTCAGGAGTCTCCAGCAGAATTCCTCTCCCTCCTCTCCTCTCAGACATCATCTCCCCTTCAAAATTTTAAACTCTGCTTATCTCTATATATTCAAAATTAAAAATGCCCAGGATATCCCACGAAGCAAGATAATTATCTTTTATACACACGTGCAACAGACTTACTAAGTGATGTCCTCCAACTCCTCCTACAAATAGCTGCAAGATTACATCAGAATTTTCTGCTAATAATTACGGCTCATTTCGGGTCTGTGCAACAGGAAAATGGCAGCAGCCATAAGCAGTGCCTGGAACAGATGAGGGCTGGATGTGCTGGCTGACTCAGGAGCTGTATCCGTACAACAGCAGTGTTGGGTTACAGGGTGACACTCACATGGGTGTCTGGGAGAGGCAAAAATATCTGCACTGAGAAACAACCCCCAGATTACTCAGAAACTGCTCAAAGCTGCAGAGCAGGACTGTCAGGGGGAAAAAATTATTATTTTTAAGAGAAGTGAAAAAGCGGAAGCRTTGTTGATTATAATGAGCGTGTAATCTGAAACCGCGACTGCACCATGCAGCACACATGAGACAGGACAATTACCATTTAATTAGGAGCTTTGCTCACTTTCTTCTACCCACTTGGAAAGCTAAAATGATTGCTTCCGAGTGTCTCTTGCTATTCCTTTGTTCCATTTCCTCCCATTTATTTTCCGTTTTCCCAGATTTAGGGGGCTTATTTTCTAAAAACTGTTTCTTCAGGTTGTTTTTAAAAATACAAATACAGGGAAGTCAAATTTTAAAACTGACAATAAAGCCAACCAAATTCACCCAGACTAAAATAACTGTCAGGAGACTCAACAGAGTTTCAAGAAGCCCAAGGCACACAACTTGTGAATATGAACAAAAGCTCTGTGACTATTGTTTCTTTTTGATGTCAAACACCCTGACCTAAAAGTTAGCAGTCCTTAATCAGGCCTAAATTTAGATCCAGCCTAAAATGGCACAGAGTAGCTTTAATGGTAGACTGGGACAGGGACTGAAAGTTTAGGGGGAAAAAATGGATTCCGATCAAGAAGAAGTTGTTAAAGCCAAGTTAAATTCAAACATGCTTCCCACCCACCAAGCTGAACATCTGCCTTTGGAGCAGATGTTGCAAAGCAGAATTCCCTCTGGTAGCCTCAATGAAGGCCACACGCAAATTTTCTTAATTCTGCTTTTTCCAAATTTCACAGACCTGGAATGACAGTTCTCTTAACAGAAACTTCCAGCTTTAGCTCACAATTGCTTATAGGAAGGTGTGATAGGAAAAACATTAATAGGCTGATCCAGAAGGGAATTTTATCTGGAAACATGGTAATTATCTTATGCAGGGGATATTCTGGGTATTTTCATGTATGAAGATAACTGGAGCCCAGGAAGCTGGAAGAGAGATGGCATACTAAGGGTCTTATTGCAATACAGAAAATTTGAGCAGAATTTCAACACGGGACCTTCTCCCATGCAGATTAAGGAACAGGCTCAGGCAGAATGGGTGACTCTGGAGCAGTGTCAGACCCCAGACGATTGTGAAGGCACTGAGAGAGCACAGCTGCATGCACAGAAGATCAGTTAATCATACAAAGGAAGCAAAAGCCTTTCTCTGAAGGCCCCTCTCATTTTCCTTTAAGCATCTTCTCTTCTTCCTTGAAAACTCAAGGTTAGACTGCTGGGGTCTTACATTCAGCTCCCTGTAATTGCCACATTCCCCAGAATGGTCCAGAGARCACCAATTTTAGGTTTCCCTATTTAGAGTCTGCGTTCAGCAGGGTGCAGGCCAACTCCTGGACCAAACCAAACCCCCTCCCTCTCTCTGCAAACATGGCCCTGGCTGGAGCAGACAGTACCCTCTGTGGGAGAGCTGAATTTGGTCTCGTTGACGAAGGTGGACAGGTCAGAGGGCTGGGGGTAATCCTGCTTGTCCGTGTTCAGGTCCACAGTCATGCAGGTCCACTTCTGACCCGTCACYGAGGACGCCAGCTTCTCCTCATCCGTGGCATGAACCACCGTGGAGATGACAGGAGGCGTTTCAGGAGTTGGCAGTGGAGTGGGATCCTGCAGCAAACAGGAGACAATTAATTCCATTATCTTCCACTAACACATGGAACAGCTCAATCTCTSAATTCCTTCGCACCGCCAGAGCCATCTTTTTTAATTCTGTAATCTCTGCTGCAGCTCTGGGTAAAATACTTAATGGAAAGTGCTAACTCTACCAGCAGCTAGTTTTCCCAGTATAACCAGGCTCTTTGATGATAAACACTTGCATTGCAAAGCTGCTTTGATAACGGGGAAGAAAGAAGATCCAGAGCTGTTTAAATCTGTCAGGCACTTGACACAAGTGGCACACRTGGCCCAGCACTGAAGTCTCTGACTACCAAAACTGACTTTTTAGGCTTCCCTCATAGGAGCAAACCCTTGTAGGTCCACGAGGTCGTGAACCCTTCCCCCTTTCTTCACTTCTCCGCTGCCAAGCAGCAGAAATAAAAGGGCAGGAATGGATAACAGGAAGAGGAACAGCAGCGTGGAAGGAGCTGCGCCACATCAAAGCAGTCAGGCCTTTGTAGAAGAACAGCTTTTGTTAACTTCTCTTCCAAGAAAACCACCTGCCAGCAGTTTACAACACGGAATCAAACTATCCAAGCACATGTTCCTGSTAGATCAGCCCACTTGGTTTATTTCTATTTCCCTTCCAGCCCACCAATTYGGTGCATTTGGTTTCTTACTTTCTAATATAAAAATTCCAGGGTGGATAGTGATGTCTTGTTTTTCAGACAACTGACTGAAGATATTTATTCATATCCTTGCTCCATCMTAACTCAGGGATTTCCAAAGTACATTTACTAATACTCCAACTGGAATTCCCAGAGCAAATACTACATCTGTGATATGTTGTACACACACTTCTAGAGACCAAAAGGTTAATGCCTTATGGTTATAGCTAAATGTGATATATATACTTGGACCAAAATGCAGAGATTCTCTACAAAAATCCCTTCTTATTAAACACACAATTACACAATTAAATAAATCAAATTTCCCCTTTTTTTGCCCCTTCAAGAACACAAATGACATGCATTACAATAAGGCAGCACTTTACCTGAGAAGGAGGATCTGATAGTGGGGATCTTTTTGGTGATTTTTTCACCCTAAATGTATCACTGAAAATAAAGTTCAAAATGTTAATATGGCAATAGAAGCAGGAATCAGGTCAATTCACACTTAGCAAAAGATAGCCACAGACAATGCAACCTCTGTACGCCCTTCTGCATTAAAATCCCATCCATTAGGCAGCAGCACCACAGAGAAACATGCCATGGGTACATATCMTTGTCATGCACTTGGAACAGGCCTCAATTTCCAAAAGCTGAGAACAGCAGGATTGCCATATTTTTCAGGCTAACTCTGACACATTCCCAGAGCTCGGCTGCAATTCAAATCCCTGCTCCACCACAGGCACCCTCCACAGCCCTGTGGAAAGGATTTGGCTTCTGTCTGCTTCACTTTCCCATCCAAAAATTATGYCTAACCCACCCCTTTACCTGAGAATTGATACACTGATAAACTTGGGAATTAAGCTCCAATGGCCCCAAAAATCATGAAGAAAAAATGTGATAYCCTGCAGATGAACTACATGAAACCATCTGAGGCTGATGCTGCTCCCCAGATGCCAGAACAAAGCTGTGTCACAACAAATGGCCCAGTGGCCCCTTTTTAAAACAAATACAACAGGAAATATGGCAATTCTGCTTCCAGGTCCCCTGACACCTCACAGTGCAGACTRGGAGCACAGACACTGTAGCACTCCAAAATCCCACAGGTTTCAATCAAGCAAAAGGAATGAAGAACATAATTATGTCATGATGGTGTGTAATTATCAATGTTGCCTTTACRTTTATTCACAATTGGCTAAGAATATTTTCTAACCAGGAATAAACTAATTATCTATCTGTTCTCTTGATRCACATTGCCAGAGCTATTCAAAGCCATTTATGTTACCAGCTACAAGAGGCAGAAAAATACCACAGCAAACTCACTGAGAAAGACTTTATGTTTGAAATGAGATGCAGTGGCAAAAATTTCTGCCCACCAGTTCATCCCTGATCAATGGTGGCAAGGCTGACACTAGAAATTCTAATGGTGGGTTTCAATAGGCAGAGGATAAATCAACAACATATCTAGAGGGGAAAATAAATTGGAAAGCTGAATACTGGTGTGTTTGATGGCATTAATTATCCAGTTATGATGATAGAATTAATTAGGATAACTTCTTYCTTTAAGGACAAGCACTTTATGAAGGATTTACGAAGGACTGATTGTACAACGTTGTTCAGTGGTAGAAATAAAACTTTCATATTTTAGCTCAAGGATACAAAATCTCTACAGTTTTTAAATGAGGATCTTCTTTCATAGGCAACAGATAATAAGGCAACAGATTCCTCAAACTCATTCACAGTCAGGCATCTTAAAATAACTTTCATATGTGCAAGTGAAATGAAATCATTAACATAAAAGCTTCATGCTGAAYAATAACTGATCATGCTGCAAAATAAATAAGTAAAATTAAAAAGCCCATAAACCAAAGAGAAAGTTTGAATTGTTAGATTAGAATTACTTACAACAGAGAACATACAGACATCACATCTTCTACCATCCTAAGACAAATAAGACAAAGAAAAGAGAGACAGACAGAAGGAACTGACAAAAAAGATTAACCTACAAATACTATGTTAATGTGTTAAAGCAATCTGATCATGCATATTTTCTACCTGTATAATCTTAACCCCTACTTTTTATTGCAAAATACATGAGGAGAAAAAAAAAATTCATCAAGTCCTTCAATGTTTTCTAGCTCAATGTTATACTTTTGACATGCTTTCATCTTACAAAACACATTTTTCAAAGCTGACACCTTCAAGTTAAGTTCCTTTCAACACACTAACTGTCCTTGCCTTCTCTGACAGAGGCCACCTGCTTGCTTTTCAAAACACRGTATTTGTTATTATGTGAGATACAAAACTGTTCTTGAATTCCAGGTTTTGTCACGTTTGCTGATGTGCTCTGACAGCACAGAAAAAGCTACTTGACCATTTCAAACCATCTACCCAGGTCAGGACAGAAAAAGACATTTTCTTTAAATCTCAGCTATTCTGGTTTTCTCCAAAACCTAACCTGGTGTCCTGACAGATCAAACTGGTTTCCCCCAAACCAGAACCAAACCTTGCCAAACAGCTTAGGCTGAGAAAAGGTTTCATTTACTTATAAGCTTGGCAGCTTCAGCTCATCTCTCCTCACATGCAGTGCTCGTGACAGYTGGCACCTTCCATTTCTGAACAGCCTCCAGCCTTCCCAGAGCTTCCAGAGCGATGCCTRCACAAGCAATGTCTCCACAAAACACCAAGTTTTGCTCAGCACTGTAAGCTGGCCCTGGGGARGCATCAGCTGCTCTTTGCTCAGCATCACCTGAGCCATGTGACTGTCTCCAGGCTGCTCACAACTCAGACAGAGGACCAGAGAGCAATTTGTGTCCAGCCCAGATCTCTTCTGAAAACCTCCTCTTTTTACAAGGAGGTCAATGCTTAGACTGCTGCAGGTTTCATTCAAGAACAAAAATGGATTATTTTTATTGATTTAACACATGTAAGACTGAGCACATGGCTCAGATTCAAAGCAGCACAAGCTTAGCAAAGGCTTAAACCCATGCCAGGGTTCTTCACCTCTGATCTAGAAACTGCAGCCTCTCTACACAAGGAACACCTTTCCAAACCAGTCCATAGGGTTTGATTCCTGCACCCCTCAACAATGCTAATAAAACCCCCTGCCAMTGCCTCCCCTGGCATCCCACAACAYGCCTTWGGGTGATTTTCTTCTRGAAAGTACCAGAGCTGCAGGCTGCAATCTGTTATTAATATGCAGAATCTCATCATTGTCTAAAAAAAAMCTAAACCAAAACCACTTGCAAAAGTAGGTTACGGGGCTGCAGCGAGCAACACACAACAAAACACAATGAAAGCAGTGCCAGGCACAGGCTGGGAATTCCTGCAGCCCTCYTGACTCAAGAACTTGTGAGCCCTGAGCTGGGGAAGCTTCATCTCCCCATCGTGACAATGAGCAGGAGTGAACTTTGTGACTCTGCGACAGTGTTTTTCTGCAATTTGTTTTCCCAAGGACAAATGTGGCTCAGCAAACTCTCTGTAAACTCATTTTGCCYCTAAATTAATAACTTTGGAATTCTTTCAAATATTTAAAGCAGATGGGAGAACCCAAGAGGCTCACACTGGGGGTCTGTCAGCTCCAGCTACTGGAAGATTCAAGGAGACTCTGGCTGGYTGCAAAAACTTAAGGATTTKGTGGTACTAAAATTCCCCTCYGCACTTCCCCAGCAAGATTAAAATYGTTCCTCTCTTCCTGTCAGACTTTTAAATCTTCTTGGTTTGGAYAAAACCAGTCTGGACTGAAGGCTTGGAAAATGTGTCAGTTTAGCATGCATCTTAATTCCCATCTGATCTTCCACTAAATTTCAGGTATACCTCAAAAAGAAGCAATACCAGAAAAAAAGAGGCTCCTCTCTCAAAGAAACAACTCAACTACACAGTGGTCTAAACCATCCATGAGTCAGAAATGCCCCCAGGAAGAAAATAATGGCACAAGCTTCCTCAAATCAGGCAAGAGACACGAATTAGAAGCTTAGAGGGCAGGAGGCTGTTCAGAAAAACTGGAATAATCTCCATTTCACCCTGCACAGGAGGTCAGCTTTTGTACTGCTTTACATCAACCATGATATCTTCTTATCTTAAATTGGCATTTAAAATTTTTACTCCCATTTTTGCTAACTAGCTCAAACGTTTAAACCATAAAGGAACATGAACTGAGATACTTTCTTATAGATACACACAARAGATCAATTTCAGCTATATGGGATATCAACTTAGTAGTTACCAACTCAAAATAACCATATTTGAACAGATAAAGCAACATGCACATCAGCTACCAGCAACTGAGGTTTTTAACCAAACATCTAAACACAGCAACATAGAAAATTCATCCTGGAATTTGTCTAAATGTTGGGTATTTCCCTAACGTGTAGTAGTYTTAGAGATTTAAAACTCTTTTAAAATTTYAAGCTCTTTYATARAAAGGAAATTGTTYACRTTTTTTAGTCTTGTATGTAAAAAAAAATTGTATTTCGATAATGAACTCTTCTGTTCCATGTTATTTTCTTTCAAATACTGTAAGTCACTGGATAAAACCAACTTCCTGCTGTTTGCAACACGAGATTTGTCACTGCCTTACTATTTCACATCCCAYGCTGAAAAACAGTGATTCATAAAACAGTTTTTGCTGGTGTGTTTACTTTGATCATCTTAAACAGCATCAAGTTCCCAAGATGAGATCACAGCAAATTGGGTACAAAACTGATAAAATTACAATTTAACCGGGTTCAAAAGAACACTGAGCCCAAAGACTTATAAAAATGCAGCTGCCTAATGCAGTTGGGTAGCTCTGGTTCTCCCTTTTGGTCTGGAAATATCAAATTATTGAGGAAACAGGTTRAGGGAGAGCAGGAGCAGCTCCCCAGTGTGACTCCAGCTGTGGCCACAAACACCCAAGGTCACCTTCCTCTCTCTACTCAAATATAAATCCTGTGTAGGTGTGCTAAGGAATGTGCTGCTTCTATTCTAGAAAYGTCTCTGCCCTTTAACTTACGTTTTTAGTGGCGTCTTCTTCTTCTTGGCAGGTTTGTTGAGGTTGTCCCCTTCTGTTCCGTTTGTCTCGTTGGCACTGGCTGGTATCTCGAAGGAAGCTGGAGATTTGGAGGGCGAGCTGGCTATCTTGGAGGAGGTCTTGAAAGGGTCAATGGAGTCCTCACACATGTCCGGCTCRAAGCTGTAGGTTTGCTGAGGCAGTTTGGGCGATTCCTGCATTTTTGTACTGGATGAGAAGGGGTTAAAATTGGGATCATCCCACTTGTCGATATCAAAAGTGTAAGAGCCTTTTGTGATGGGGATTTCGTTGGGATCCACAGGCGACTTTGTCGGGCTGGTCGGAGCATTGTCAAGCTTCTCCACCGCTTTTTTAGTCTTTGGCCTCCGCAGCGGCATTTTAGCACCAGGCTTTTTACCCGCTTTTTTGGGAGGGGGAGTGCTCTCCTGCTGCTCCTCGCTCCCCCCTTTCTCCTCAGAGTAATCAAACTCCAGCCTCACGGCGATGCCTTTGACTGGAGGGTCCTCCTGGCCCCCGGTGTCCGGTGGAGTGACCTCCCCGGCCTCGGGGGTCGCCGTCAGAGGCAGCGTTTTCCTGCCGACGGGGGGAGAGTTCTGCACTTTGCCCCCTCCAGAGCCGAACGCGCCGATCCCTTCGGAATGGTCTGGATCACAAGGCTCGGATCCTTCAGGCACAGGAGGGGCCTCCTCTTTCTCAGCAGAGATTTTGGAAGGTTCAGTACATTCGGGCTTYGCTGGGTCAGCCCTCACCTCAGGCGCTTTCTCCTCGCAAGTTGTTTGGCCAAGCTCAGCCGGCTCTTGCGGGGTTTCCTTCACCAGGGGAGCATCCAGAGGTTTTTTGGCCGACTGCTTCTTTTTTAAGGAAGCTGGTCTGGGTTTTTTCGTCCTCTTGAGGGTACTGGAAGCACTGCTTGAACCAGTACCRTAGGCATCTGCTGATGGCGCTAACGTCTCGCTGTTGCCAAGGTAAGAGGCTCCATCAAAATCGCTGGCCTGCAGGCTGAGAGAGCGCGACAACGTGGATTTGGACACCGGCACCGAATCCGTGGATTTTCTCCGGACATTTGCTTTGGGGTCGCGGTTCTTGGGCTCCGCAGAGCTCGGTCCTAAGGCATGGAGAGAATCAACCAGCTCAATGTTATCAAAGTCCAGGTTGTAGGTGCCGCTGCTGGCTATGGGCTTGTCCTCGTCGAAGACAGTGGAGAAGGAGTGGCAAGGGGGACGGAAAGGGCTCTCTTGAACCGGCTCGCTGTGCGACACATCGGGTACGGGTTCAGCTTCTGAGCAYGGCCCTGTGGGAGCAAACACAAAACTCAGCRGGCTCGAAAYAYATTTYTGGGASTGGGGATTMGGAAGYTTTATKATAGYCTAATGTTGGTACAAGAAAAAGGAATTAAAACCATACAAATTGACTAAGCAAATCAAAGTGATTATTCCAAAATGTGAACTAGATTAAGAGAAAATAACAGATCTGCTCTCCCCAGAAAAGGACTCAAGGCGAGTTTTCTGAAAAGACAAAATATGTATTTGCAACAACCTCTGATGCACCTCTTCTAAACTATCACTTATAGAGATGGATATTACCACAATATGTTAAATATTCCAAATACCAYAAAAATTGCACATAAAGCACTTTTTTACTTCCATTTTCTACTGCTACAAAGAGTTCACAAAATTGTGTCACAGCTCTTCTGCAGTAAATTTCCTGTAAATTGACTGGTKCTTCAGTAATTACATGTTGACCTTAAGTTTTGTTTCCCATGTGCTATTTTTACCAATTTTCCCGGAGGAAAAATGGCTTCCCCTCCACAACCCATCAATGCTGCTCCTCTATCTGCCCAAGCAGTCAATATATTCTACTCTGACCTCATAATTACAAGTTTATAATAAGAGATGAATAATTGAGAACTTAGTAGGAAATAAATTATGGTAAAGGTAAAGAAAAAAAAATAGTCATTTAGGGAACGCCGCAGTTGAAAAATCTTCCTTTAAAGAAAATCATTTAGACGCTCCCTAGAAATTATTTAAACCAGGTTTTTCCAAGTGTAGTTCTAACTCATTGATGAAATAGATGTAGGGGGATTTACGTGCTAAAACCCTTAAACCAAGCAGCTTTCCATTGCAATTAAAGGTTTTCTTATTGAATGGAATCCTAAAATGATTTCTAGAAGTCTCTTCACTTGGGATATAACAACTCTATTGGACAAACCAGAAAAAGATGAGTGCATATCAAAAAAAACAGAAAATATACAGGTAGGAAAACATGAAGATGATGGTCCTTGCTGCTTTCCATCAGGTTGATTATTCAAAATTGTTTTACAAATCCCACATATGGTTTGCTCCTACTGTCACTGTATTAGCACTGATGTGAATGTACCACGGTCACCTCTGTCCATGTGTGTCCCCATGGGGTCCCACAGACCTGGGACAGCTCCCTCCAGCTCCAGTCCAGGCTGGGCTGAGCCAGATCCTCACAGCTCTCACTGAGGAGCAAATTGTCCCCATTTCCTGCTGAAGCAACACAGCCTTCTTCATGTTGTCAATTTTTTTTAATTACGCAATTATAAAGAAAAACAGTCTAACAGAAATGAATGCTTTGCTCAGCCTTAAACGATTTCAGAGAGGTTTCTGCACATCCTTTTCATTCCAATCCTGACATGTTTTGCAAAATARCTCCCATTTTGCCCAGCTACATTCATTAACACTGCTCATAAAAGCAATACAGACAATCAATTATTATTTTAGTGRGAAGCTATGAATGGATTAAGAACGGGAAAAAAATTTCCTTTGTTTCAGAAGAAATTGTATGCCTGCACAGAGAATGCAAGAATTATTATTTATGGGTGTAGAGGACAGAAAAGGATTTAAGGGAATTGCACACATTTCCCAACGTGGCACAATGTACTTTCAGAAACTGTCAAAGGAACGACAGCTAYGCAGTCTCTTTTAAGACTGTGGAAGTTCACTAAGACACATCAATTAAAATAATATTCTAATGTGGTTTTTTTTTTCTGCTAAATGAATGCTAATAATATGGCAGCACTTCAGAACAGTTTATTTTTCTCCTTAATCCCCACTGGTTTGGGCTTGGCTTCAGCCTGGCTGAGGGGTCATTAATTAGGCTTCATTTGGCAGCAGAGCTGGTGCTCACTTCACACACACATCACTTTGTGACACTGATGGGGCTCCTGTTAAGGGCACTCAGAGAGTGCCATAAACCCCCAACATCAGCCTCATCTGTCCTTTCACCCTGCAAGGAGAATGGAAGGCACTTCAGGGGAATGCATCACAACAAACACTGGGATGTCAGCAGAGTACAAATGTAGGTCAGCATGAAATAAAAGTGGGATCTCAACAAGGAATCATCTGCAGTTATGCAGAGTTTTCATTCCAGCCCMAGCCAAAGTCTTCAACAGCATCGAGGCCCTCGTTCAAAGCAGTATAAACATGCATTAAAACAAAGTAAAATAAAATAAAATAAACCACTGCCCTGCAGGGCTTGGACTGTAAATAGGAGGCTGAGGTTTGGGATGCATCACGCAAAGGGAACGTAYGAGGCTTTGCAGCTACTCCCAACAAAACAACATTTAAATTCTGTGTGCTCCACACAGTGCAGGGCTTTAATCTTCTTTAACTGCTTCTTTCACGACTTCCTCCTCATCAAATCCTTTTCACTCAAGAGCACGGATTTCTGCAGAGCATTGCTCGATATTTTTATTGTTTCTTTATGAAACAAGATGTGAAACTGTCTCAGAAAACACGGCTCTTGGCAGAAGTGAAATGCTGCTGTCAGCCTCTTCTGGCTTTACGACAGGACTGGCTCACTCCTGGTAACAGCACAATTGCTGGGGTAGAAGATAGAAATGGTACTCAAGGCTTTATTACTGCAAGGAGACATGAAAACCACTCTTTCCTGACATTAACAGCCTGTTCAGAGAGCAGTGACATTTGTCCTTTTCCAACACAAAATTAAGCCAATCAGTGTCTCTATGGTATTTTATTAAAATGCAGTTTGGTCACAAAGGAACATACTGCGACGCCAGCTATGGGAATTAAGGCAGGACTCGCCTTAAGAGAGGGACCAGCACAAGGTTTTAAATCAGGTTTATGCCTTTTATTGGCACTGAGTCATCCACAATTTATACTGTTAAGAGCTGCCCACAGGTAGATAGTAAGTTTTATAAAGCGTTCCAAGAGCATGGAGGATAGCTGGAATAAAAAAGCTGAAATAAAAAAAGGCAAGCTCCCCCAAACCTCTCCTTCATTAAAAAAAAGAAGGTCCAAGTTCTGCTCCTTCCACTAGGAAATTTCTCAGATTTCAGATAAATTTTGATTCGTTCAACTATGAAAAACAATCCCAACAACATAAAACTCAGAYTTCTTTTATTATCCAGGAGAYGAGACCTAAATAYGAGAGCTCCATGCCATGTTCAACAYTTGGCATTTTCACCTAGCACCTGTTATGGCAGAACCAGAAGCTGCCAGAAAGTCACAGAATCACAGAATATTCTGAGCTGGAAGGGACCCACAAGGATTATTGAAGTCCAGCTCCTGGCCCTACACAGGRCAGACCCAAGAATTCCACCCTGTGCCTGAGAGTGTTAATAGGAGATTGTAAGACTGGGTGCATCAATAAACAAAACAATTTTCTGTTGTTCCTTTACAAAAGCAGCCAAGGCAAAGGTCTACTTTGCTGAAATTTCTCCAAAACAGAGGGAACCCCACTAAACTGAAAATAGGCCTTAACACTGCTGAGCTGGAAACAAGATGAAACACTATTYTGACAGGCTTAGCAGTAACATTTAAACAGATATGATAAGCAAATACAGAAAAAATTAAATTCTAGTTGTTTTCTAGGGAAAAAGCAAACAAAGGCAAACCTCTGGAAAATGCATACAGCATGCACCCACTTACTATGTTATCAGGAAAAAAAGTGCCAAAAGCATACAGGAATTGGAATTACCTAACACTAGAAATTTTGAACCAGTTTATTACAAGTTCCTGTTTGTTACGAGAAGCCTTTGAAGTAAGAAAACCAATTAGTATCACTTTTTTTAAAGTTCAGCAAAAATACTTTTGTCCTTTATTCTGAGAGAAAACTTTGTRTATAGAAGTTTCTTTTCAAATTTTCCATGGCAGGCTTCAAGAGGAAAAACACTGAAGGAGAATGTTTTCCATACCAAAWATTTGGTTTGTTTATGTTTGGACCATACTGTCTCTACTGAAAAGCCTGTCCTCAAATTTCCCTAAATTTTGAGCCAAAAAGGCTCAAATTTAGGTGCCTCATATACTGATCGCAGGGCTGTAATGCATAGAGAGGGGACTCCAGCTCTCACATTTCCCCTATGAATATAATCTGAATTTAATAATTAACTGGGGAAAGCATTGGGGGTGGCAGAAAATTCCTAGGCAGGAATTCTTGGTCAAAAATCCCAGGGTTTTTGGGAGAATGAGCTTGGGGGATGTTCTGGGGCTCAGGTGGATGAAACAAGGGACAAGAGGACACTGCTATGAGAAGCTCAGGAGACAAGCAACAATAATTTAAAATAACGATTAAAATAATAAATACAAGCTCAAACTCTCCAATTTGCATCCAGAGTATAACCCACGTTTCTCTGATTTACTTAGGGAGGAATCAAAGGCTCACGGGTGGCACTTTGGGGGGCTCAGGGGTAATTTCCTCACTTGYTCTGCTGCTYCTCCTCCYYTCCAGACYTGCCCTCAGACTGCCTCCCCTCCTGTGCTCTGCTGCTGATGGACCCAAGCCATGCAGCAGGTTTTACCCCACCAGGAGCTGGCACAAACCCAGGACGAGTCCAGCTTAGTTCACTTTCATCACATTTATCAAACCACCATTGAAGTCGACCTAATTAAAAACTCCCCTCTTGGCTTTCCAGCAGTGGGGTCCAGCTGYTGCGCTGATGATATCATGCACCACAACTGCAGCCATCTGCATAAGTAATTATTGTCAGCTACAGATGAAATAATCCTTTAAAAGCTGCCTGTGCTCCCTCCTTCCACCCCAACACACGCTCAGTCACCCATCCCACAGGGAAGACAAAGCCATGTGGCTGCTGAACCAGGAACCCAGCAGGACACTGCTGCCTCTYCCTGTGCCAGGCTCTCCAGCTGCCCCCATTCCTCACTCCTTCTCTAGTGAAATCTGATTTTTTAGCTGTGTGGTACCATCCAGGAACTCTGGGAGCCCCTAGAAAGGGACTTGTTCCCTTTGTGTGCAGCCACATGCGTAACCTATGAAATAAATAAACTACAAGGCACTCCAGTGGTTTATAAAGTACAAAATGTTTAACTTTTCTCATTTCTAAACATCTAAGCTATAGTCTTAGTATTATTTATTTCTCCTAAAGATTTCCAAAACAAATGAATGCTTTGTRTTGCCCTCCTACATTTGGATATTTTCTGCATTACGCATCGTCTTCCCCTCCAATAAATTCCCCTGTTGTATAACTGTGTTTTGCATCATTTTGGAACACTTTGCTATAACTTTGCCTCCCGTGGACAATCAGATTTGCAAATGAAGTGGTTTCACCTCTGCCATCCAAGGGCCTCCAATAACACTGGCTATGAATAGATATATTCAGTTTCCCATTTTTCTTCAGAAAGATCTGGAAGAAAGGAGGGGGAGAACTGGGATGGAAGGAGGCAAGAATCACATGTGCCAGGGAAGCACATGTGTAATCAAGGGATTGAAGATAATCTACTGCAGTAATTAAAAGCACACTCCAATCCTCTTCAGCATGTGTTCTTTTGTTCTCTGAGCATTTGTTTTGTAATCACTGGATTGCCAAAGATTTTTAAAAAGGAAAGAAGATGCAGAATGAGTAACTTTTACTACAATGAAGAGGGAACTGTAACAGCAGAAAGGAAAAAGCATCAGGATGCCTCAGTATTTWATTTTTATTTTGTGAAATMAGTTCGTTGAAAATCTYTGAAGCTTCTTATAAACTTGTATCACAAATCACAATCTGAAAGAGCACTGCTTAATGAATAAYTCCCAGAAATGCTTCAGGTGGCTTGAGACATTTGGTGGGATGCTACAACTTTTTTCCAAATGCAACACAAGTGAGCTTTACACTGCTGGGAGAAATATGATCTTCATACAATTTAGCCAGGTGATCAAGATAACTTGACTTTCAGATGAGAAAAAAGACAGCATAATGGGGAATTCAGTCTCAAACTGTTGAGCTGTCATCCGACAGCCCAAACAAAGCTATTTTGGGCTAATAGCAYGCTTTCTACTCCCTCATATTCCATTACTCAATCTGGAGAACAAAGGACACTTTGGGGGGAGAAAAAATTTCTTTGGGTTTTAAACACAATTCTCTCTTTTAAAAGATTTTACTTTCTCAATATGTACCAATTTTTACATATGTATGCCATACATACATTCACCCATAGAGCCCTGTGTTCCTCCTATAAAATCAGTATTTCTGTTGTTTTACTGGGCTTTTTTGAGGGCTTTTTCCCTCCTCTTTCAGAGAACAACATACCTGAAAAGGGCATTTTGTTAATTGTCACAGTTAATAGAGCTCATCCAGGYACCTGGATCTGCAACTCACATCTCCTTTTTCTACTCATCTGACTCTGTAAAGACCCTACAAAAAGAGGTTTGGTTCCAAACAAAAGAAAGTTTTTTCTAGAAAGATCCTCTTTTCTTTAATATTTTTTGAACGTTACCAACAGATTCTCCAATACTTCATTCCAGGAAGCCACAGGGCTTTTCCTTCCAGCACAGGTAATTAACTAATACTYCAGAAACCAATTTATTAGCATGAATTCCTTGCCTGTGCTTAGAGGAACACCCCACTGCAGCTCCATCCCCCTTGGTAACACATCCCACTCATTACCTGTATCTTCCACGGGCAGCTGGGGTTTTATTTCTTGCTCTGCTACGTCTGCAACAACTGCTGCTGCTGCTGCTGCTGCTGCTTCAGGGGGTGGCTGTGGAGGTGAAGGTGGTGCCTTGACAGGTGTAGTGGATTCTGGGGTCTCAAATGCTTCTTCAGAGTCAGAGCTCCTGGGGAAAATCAAAACAGAGACCGGTGAGGACAGTGAGGATTCATGGAGGTAGGTCAGGCTTGGGAAAGCTGAGCTTCCTGAGCTGGTGGCACAGACCTCAGGACACCTCTGCGTTTCCCAAAGGAGGTTTGACATTCCAGCATGTTTTCCAGAGCAGGATGTCATGGCTGTGGTCTCCTCCACAGACAAGGATTTGTCACTTTTGTTACAGAGGTGAACACACACTTGGAAATAAATCCATTGTGCAAAGCCTGCTTCCCAGGGTGAGGGTGGCTCAGCCACACAGACCAACAGGCCCTTGTTTCTCCTTGGCACACCTAAATCAACTGAAAAACATAAATAAAAAGGATCTTCTCAAGAGAATTTCACCGCTTCATAAAAACAAAACAAAACAAAACAAAACAAAACCCAAATATCTAAACAGCACCAAATTTCTTTGTGTGCTCTTAAGGGTGAAACAGCGGACATGAAGATAGCTGAGGTGTAGCAAACCCTTGTGCACCCTCCTCCCATGGCAATACCACACTCTGTTTCAGCAGAATTTTATCATAACCCTTTTCAAATAGACCTTGTTACACCAGGTAAGTCAGCCTGTAAAATGCAGAAAGTCCTGGTATTATCAGTAATCCTTTTGTGGCACCACGTGCTCACAGGGACATAAAAACCACAGGGAACACCATGGGCTGGTGCCAGCCCAGGAAGGAAATGGCAGAACCCAAATGGAACCCCTCAAGTGAAACAAAAGCTTGAAAGGGAGCAACTCTACAAAACGATGAGTAACCTAAACATCAAGTGAAGATCTGAACCWTTCAAGGACACACCACTTGCTCTTAGAGGTGTACAGCCATTGGAAACTATCCCTTGAGGTCTGGAAACTATAGATCATACTTGTTCTTATATCAAAATGACTCTTAAATCAAAATGATAAACATTTCATCTTGAATTGTTCGTTTGGAAACAAGGAATGCACTAATGATGGTGTCACATTCAATATGCACTGCACATGTGTTCAGTAGACATTCAAGAAGTATTTCTGCTGGTCAGAGGCAGTTTTGGGCTGTAATAGTGAATTAAACATAGCAGTTTGCTGAAGGACAGGACTGATTTGCCTCTTTCCAGTGATTCTGTGCTGCCATGAAATGAAAACCCATTTCATCCCCCAGAAGAACTCCACAAGCCATCCCAAATCAAGGACTCCTCTCGTTTTGCTTGAGTTAGAAGATAACTCTGAGCTGCCAGATCTGTTTGGTTTCCTGAGACTTGCAATTATTTTAAGCAGCTTCATGTCAGGAGAAGTGCAAGTACAGGATTTGCATTCGATTACATTTGCCTAAATCTATCATGGCATGAAGCTTTTGGGGAGCTGGGGAAGAAGAGACCCCAGTATCACTGACACTGACAGCTTGATGAGCAGTGGTCCCAAACTTTCCCTCTCCCTCTTCTCTGCTGCCTGTGCAGAATCCCAGTGAGAGTTCCCAGCTCGTGAGGGTGCACATTATGGCCCTGTGCCAACCAACTCCTCGCTCATCACCCCTATTCCTGAAGCAAAAGGATTTCTACTAGGTGATAATTTTGCATGTTTGAAGATTTTCTTTTTCCCCTAAAGTTACACAGCTCAAAATCACTGTATCTGGCTTTCAACTTGCCACAGATCCTCAAAATACCTTCTTAGTGTCACTTCTACCTCACTCCTCAGGCCACAGAACAGTCACACTGGAACAGGCACACTGCCTCATTTTAAATTATATCTCTACAAAGATGCACCATCTTTTAAGTTCTACATATTTTAAAGCTTAAAGAACAGCTGCAAACAAAGAGCTTCTGTAAATAAAGYTTCACAATAGGTATTCAACAGCAACAAAAATAAGCTTTCTCTTCCCTCCATGGAGCTGGTTCAGGAAACTTTAAAGTTGAAGAATCAAAGAGAAATACAGTTGTGTGATATTTTCCCAGTGTCAGAAAAATAAACCTAGGAAGTTGTCATCTAAACCAACAAAATGAGAAGTAATTCATATCTCTCGGGCTTTCACATAGTTCTTCATTGTGTGAGACTTATTGTTTCACCTTCTATAGTTGAACTGAAAGTCTTGCTCTGTAATACTCAAACAATCATATTTAGACTCCTTTTTTCCACACTGTCTGTAYAGCACAAATAATATATACAGTAAATGGAATGGAAAAAAAAAACCCTCTATTTTTATATCCTACTCAAACTAGTAACTGCTTTGTTAAACTGCCTTGATGGAGCAGTTCTGTGTCCTCCTTTAATTAAATGATGGAAAAGAATAATCTGAAGGAGCTCCATTTGTATGCTTGGTCTCTTCCATATATCAGTAGGGCATAGGATTTTGAAGTAAAGAGAAAGATTTGTTTTATTTTTGTCCACTGCATGAGTTGCCATTCTGGAACACCTCCCGAGTATGTGRACAGACAGCTGAGGTGCCTGAGCTCCAGAAAAAGGCTAATATTTAATAATTCCCAAAAGATTCTAATGCAACACTCCAGATTTTCAGCTAGCACAATCAAGCAAGAACTGTCTTAACGATAACTCAAATCCTGATGAGCTCGTTATGACAAGCAATTGTGCTCACAAAGAAAATGGTATTTAACAAAGAAACATGAAGGGACGCTCAATACCAGAAAAACCTTTGTCATGGCCTGGGATCTGGGCAAGGGCATAAAGCCTGGAAGCACATTCCAGTACTATGCTCCAAAGTCAACAYGCATCCTGGAAATATTAAATCTTGTGTTCCGTTTTCCTCAGTGAAAATACGGATGATCTCTCTTGCGTGGGCTATTATTTTTAAAGACTACAGCCCTAGGTTCAAACTGCAAGAAAAGATTTTCCCAGAACAACAGGATTTCCTGTGAAAAGGAAATTACACATTTCAGCCAGCTCAATTCACAACGTCTTTTCTCTGAGAAACCCAGGCAATGCACGGAACAAAAAGGAATCGTGCTGCTGCTGCACAGCCCTCGGTGTGTAAAAGATTCCCAAACTGTGACACACCCTGAGAATCGGCACAATTCAGGGCTGCACAAGGAGCAGCTCATGTTCTCAGGAATGGAAGAGTCTTGTGCCATCTAGAACATGAGTCTGAAGCTCCAGCCAACAACAGAGCAAAGAGCAGAGGCTGAGCCTGCAGGACTTGTTTGTGAGGCAGTGATGAAGTCAGAGCGACARGAAGGAATGCACATTTATTTAGACAGCTTTGGAAATGAATGGGAGCTCACTTTCATAAAATCATACAACTCTTCCCATCTGCATCCTTGGGATTTTGTAYATAGCAGGTGAAAAAATATAGATTGTATAAGTCACAAAATATTCTTTMAGTCTGTCTCTTTCATGTCCCTTCTTGGAAGACAGAGTAAATATAACACGTACAGATGGGGTCCAGCAGCAAGGGAGAACAGGGAAATCCAAGAATCAGACTAGACCAACACAAATCTGGCAGCACTGCATCAATTTGTGGAGCCTGAGCACTCCCACTCTCATCTGGGAAGCCCAAGCTCTTGCCCAGCCTGTTACATAAATCTCTGGACAAAATACTGAAGGCTGTCACCAGGGTTGACCTCTCTTCCTCACCTCTGGCYGTGTGGAAACCCAGCCTCATAAGTTACATTACCCTTTTTTTGTAAACCACAGGCGCTTATAATTTAAATCCTCCCTGATTTCAGAATGAAAAATTGCATTTTTGTCACCGTAGCTGGAATGCAGTCAGAAAACAAGAATGAGATTTCTTCATTCCCCTGCCTCTGCTCGCTGCCTGCCCTCGTCAKGCAGACACAGCCCCTAAAGTGAGCGAGGTCACCCTGGATGCCACCCGGAAACTCAATTCATTAAAAAGTGGTTTTCAACAGAGCCGTGGCCTTGGGCCGCCTTGGGAACACTGCCATCTGCCTCGGGTTCCTCCAATATTTACACTGCAGCACCAGGGTGCTCCCTGGGTTCAGTTCACAGCAGTGAGAGAGAATATAAAAGAAACTTAAAAGCAGGACTTTGACATGAGGACAGAGCTCAGMAGGATCACCTCCTGTGGAGGGGCTCAAGGGAGCAAAGCTGGAACTGAAATGTGCCAAGGGAGCTCCACAGGCTTTTGCAGAGTTATTTCATTTAATGCCAAATCTATATAGAATTTCTTTTTAGTGCATAGCCTACTTCAGGGGAAAAAACCAACAATCATGGCTCACTACTTTATGGAGTACTGATCTGCTGGAGTGCAGTACCAACAATGTGGAGAAGAAGAGGGGGGGATATTATGAATTTTTGAAGCCAGAAGTTGGAATTGCCTTACTGAGAAGTGGCACCAGTGCTGGGAGTAGGGGGAGAGGGACAGAGCCAACAGAGCYGCTCTCCCATCAGCCAGGCCTGTGGAATCACAAATAACAACATGAACATGGGCTTCAGGGGGATCTGCTCCACAAAAGCTAAGGTGAACAGCCTCTGAATGCCTCTATTTCAAATTGGACTTTTTTTTCCAAACTTTGCACTTGGGAAAAAGTATGTTTTGTGTCCCTAATTAGCAGAATGTGCCCTGGATTAATTGAGGTCTTTCGTACCTGTTGGCAGTATCATTGATGCCCTGCCAGCACTCCATAAACCCATCCTTCTCACTGCTACTCAAAAGACTGTTCAMCAGTTGTTTTGCCCCTATGTTTTACTGACATGATAACTTCATTCCCATGGTGCATTTGGAAACAGGACATACTGGGAGAAAAAAAAAAAAACAGACAATTTAACAACATACACACAACAACAAAAGCAAACTGTGCCCCCAYTGCCACCCAAAAGGGTAATGCAGTGAAAGCGAGGATTGTTAAGGTTTATTGGAGAGTTGCTGTTTGCAGGTTGTCCTCTGATTGAGGGTGAGGGATATTTTGAAGTGTACAGACAAACTGAGAACTCAGAAGATGAGCAGTTCCACCCTGACCTGTTTTAACTGGCAGTAACTCCTACATTCTTTTCCTGAGGTACAGCTGTACTCCCTGAAGAGGAGA